ACCAGGTAGAATGAGACACCAGGTAGAGTGAGACACCAGGTGGAGTGAGACACCAGGTAGAGTGAGACACCAGGTAGAGTGAGACACCAGGTGAGACACCAGGTAGAGTGAGACACCAGGTAGAATGAGACACCAGGTAGAGTGAGACACCAGGTAGAGTGAGACACCAGGTAGAGTGAGACACCAGGTGGAGTGAGACACCAGGTAGAGTGAGACACCAGGTAGAGTGAGACACCAGGTAGAGTGAGTCACCAGGTAGAGTGAGACACCAGGTAGAGTGAGACACCAGGTGGAGTGAGACACCAGGTGGAGTGAGACACCAGGTAGAGTGATACACCAGGTAGAGAGAGACTCTACCTCTATTGCCTCTCTGTGTGCTGTGAAGGAGGAACGTTGCTAAACTAACAGATGGCTGTATCCTAGTTTGTTGAAGCGGGTTAAAACCCATTGATTTATTCTTTTTACGTGAGCTGCTGGCGTCCAAAGCCAAATGCAGGAATAAGACAATGACAAAATCTGTAGGAAATTTAAGTTAATTGACAACAAGTTGAGCAAGGAACGCAGAGAACGATGGAACATAATAAATGCTACAAATGAAAGCAAAATCTCAGTTCATAAATACTAATGATTAATAGCATTGTCATGAAACAAATGACGAAATGCTAGAAGAGACGTATGCATTAGAACACACACTTTCAAATACAGCACAATCACACGTGAAATACAATTCAGGAGAGTCACAATTGCAACTACACAGCAAATTGACAAAAGCTGCACTTGCATTAAAGCCAGAAGGCCCAGGGGTAAAAAAAACCTAAATTTATCAACATCAGTATTCTCTGAGGCAAAGAGCATCATGGGAGTAAGCATGACCCCGTGACCCCGTGGGTCATCTCGCCGGTCAGCCCCACTCTGCGATCTGCTTGCCGTGGCCTGAATGGAACCAGGGGAGGAGGCGAGGGTGAAGTTTTCGCTTCTTGGCTGCCGTCTTTGGGACAGCAGTGCGATGCGAGTATGGATTTTGTTGTCAGATTGTGCATCTAGTTGTGTAACTCGGTCCCAGTTTCATGCAATCAGTCAACTTTAATTAACTCCACTGGGAAAACGCTGCACTTTTGGCGACAGAGCCGCAAAACAGAGACGGGCATTTACATTGTGTAAACATTTTCTCTCTTGTTTAACGAGTGGTGTAAGGATAAAAAAAAACACATTTCAATAACGATCTTGCTAAAGTACTAAAGTTCGCAGGGAAATATACACAAGCCCAAAATGATCGTTTTAAAGTAGGATAAACTGAAATGGAATATCTATATTTATATATGTCGACCTTAACAATGTGCACTCCTGTATTGACTGAAATCAATGCAAATCTAATGCTGATGCTCATTTGACCAACGATGCATTGTACCATTATGGTGAATGACACCGCATTAGTGGAGGCTTATTCGACTGGGTCTCATTTGTGCACACTCTCTTTGTGCCTCTTGAGTTTCCTTAAAATTGAGATTAGAAACTGATCAGTGCCTTGGTGAAGGAACGCAACACATTTCTCATACACGGGTCCAACCTGAATTGACACACAGTCCGTTTGACACATTCCACTTTTCCCAATCAAAACATGAGTGCAATATATAATGGCCCTCCAATGCAGTCGATAAGAGAATGCTTGGGAATTGGCAAACAGTCAATGTGGGAAGGTCTGAGGATTAGAGTGTGGGGAGTCTTTCCGTGGCAGCAGCGCCACGATGGGGATATGTTAACTACCTCACCTGGTAGGCAGGAGGTCGTGGGTTCGATCCTGATCCCGACCCTGACGCCTGTACATTTGGAGTTTGCATATTCTGCCTGTGGTCGCATGGATTTTTCTCTGGGTTCTCCGGTTTTTACGTCCATATTTAGAAACATGCTTTTAGAGTAATTGGCTGCTAAACATTTGCACGTGATAAGCCACTTCGTTGAGCTATCATTTATGGCCAGGTCGCATCTGAAAAAGAGCCATATAGCCCAGTGGGCCTTACCTGGTAAAATAAAAAAAATAGCATGTATTCCTGTGCATTTGTAAACTATTATAATTATTGTTTTTTTTTATTCTTGGGTTTTTTCGGTAAAGTCACGTAGGTAAAAAATTAAAATTAAAATAAATAAAAATTACGACGTTTCGGAGGCAACACAAGCCTCTGTCTTCAGGTGGAACCGTCACAGCACGCTCGCTGTATCAATTATCAAGTAAGTGAGAATTTCTCATTTACTTGTATCAAGTATCAAGTAAATGAGAATTTCCCATTTACTTGATACAGCGAGCGTGCTGTGACGGTTCCACCTGAAGACGGAGGCTTGTGTTGCCTCCGAAACGTCGTGATTTTTATTTTATTTTAATTTTAATTTTTTACCTACATGACTTTACCGAAAAAAACCCAAGAATATGAATCCTTGCAGTCACGAAAGCTTCAAATCTAGAATTATTGGTTTTATTACTGCTCAGGCTTTCGCTATTGTCCTGTACAGCTCTCTGTTGTGTTTTTGGGGTGGGTTGTCCAGCACGATATCTGACGCTTTTCTCCACGTGTCGGGAGCTTCTTCAGCTTCAGGGACTGAATTCCAAATTCATGGAGCAAAACGTCGGATATCGTGCCGGACGCCACATGGTACAACCCGAAACCACATCGGAGGGCTATACACTCCTTGCGGGTTTGTATTACCCACTCCACATGAATTCGCTCATGTTAATTCAACGCTACTCATTGCCATTAAACTTAGCAGGTTGGCTAAAGTTCTGACCACCCACATAAATGTGGGGGGAGGAGGGGGGGGGGGGGATCTTTATACCTAATCCAGCAAAGCAAGGTTTTAAGACATTTTTTTAATTACCAATTTCATTGCACACAACATGTTTGGAGAGATTTTCTGCATTAAAATGTCCCACATGTGAAAAAAACGCATTATTATTCCATGCGCATGTCTCAAAGATATTTAGAAGAAAAAACAACCATCTGGCTTTATTGTACAAATTTTTATGAAAATGTCATAACTATAAAACTGAGCAGGCTGGCTACTTAAACCAAAGCAACTGGTATGCCGCATTAATAACCACATGAACACAAGTAAAATGGTTTATTTTCCCAAGACAAGTACCCTTTTCTCTTTGACTGTCCCCGAGTCAGCAAAAGAGCTGATAAACTCAACTAAGCATTAACCAGACATTGATTCGCTAATTGGCTAATGGTATATCAGTTTGTGATATTTTTTGTCTCTGGAGAACAATTTGTGAGTTAATTTGAGTAAATATACTCAATCTAAAGAGGCCGTGAATGTATTGACTGTTTATTATCAGAGCTGAGAGCGTAGCCAATCAGTGCGTGGGTTATGGCAGTCCATCGAAAGCCTCTGGTTTAAATCCTGCTCGGACCTGGCAACTCTGCTACTCTGCTGGTCTTCTTCTGCTCTTTGTCAAATACGTTCAGTTGGATTTTGTTGTTACTCTTGAAGCCAACTCCCTCTTCAGTGATGTAAACCCTGGCCAAGAAAGATAGCCGTGAAACGTCTGTAAAGTTTTGATTTTGTGGATGAGATTAAACACAAAAATGTCTAGCTCCAATATTCCATTAAAAATATATGCACGCAACATAATAAGGTATCAAACATTACTTCTATTGTATTCAGAAAGAGTGCTTTGAATGGAAGGATTGGTTTACACTTTTATATGCATGTAACAAAACATTCTTTGCTATTTTTGGCCACCGATTACATTGAAGGACCCTCCTGACAGAGTTTTGAGACTCAGTGAGGCCCTACAAGAAACTTATTAGTAGATTATTCAAAGTAAAATATTGTACAGTTTATACGATGAATATCATTCCGTTCAACACACCCACTGCAAGATGGGCAGTGCAAACTGTGGAGTGTGATACTAAGAATGTAATGTCAGGCCAAAAGCATTTTTTTTCTGTGCTTTCCTTCACAACCTTGCTCATTCGAAGACACGTGTTAACTCCCATCTGTTACACCTTCAATGGTGCTGTTTGTTTTGATCAGTGAACGAATTGGGCCTTTGAGGCTCCCTATACAATTTATCATTGCAAACGGTACATGAACTCAAATGTGTCGCCCCTGCATATCCGTAAGGACCATCACTAGGCTGTCTTCATCCTAAAGCACCTCTTTAATAAATCTGACAATTACTGAAAGGATTACTGAGTTCCTCCAACTCCCTCCAGTAGTCTCATCAGTGCCTCCTGATTCCTACTAAAAAAATCCAGTCGCTAAAACTTTGTTTGGTGAAAAAAAAAATGTTCCTCTGTGCTGCTCCACGTTTCTGGAATGCCCTCACCGCCCATCGACAGCTCGGCTCCCTCTCTTCACTCTCCCTCACAAAAAAATACCACGTACCCGAATGTCCTTTTAAACAAATAGATTTCCCTGCATGTAGAAATGCATGCCTGTAAGATGCTAAGGGTCGCTGTCATCGTGTCATGGTTCGCACACTCGACTGTCAATGAGTTCGCTGGTTTGATCGCCTTGCATGGAAGTAAAAAAAAAATTGGCACCTTTAAAAAATAAAATACCCTGCTAGAAAAAATATAAAAATAAAAACTCTGTCTCCACCCAGCAGCGTAAATGAATCCACGGTTGGTAAATAAACAGTTTGCATGTGGTGGGGTAAAGTGTGGGTGCTACCATTTCTTCCAAAACGGCCGACCAGCGTGGAAGAGTAGGCCAAATACCCTCTACATGGACTCTGTACAGCTCTTTCTAGTGGAGCCCCTACCGCCAGCAAATCTCGGGTTGCACTTTTAACTTCTTACATTTTAGAAGCTCCTTAGTAGCGGGTTGCTCAGAAGATTGTTCCTCCAGTTTTCTCATAAAGTAAACTTGCACAGAGCCCTAAAGACCCCTACAAACTTTGTGTGCAATGAATTCAGGCGGCTGGCAGATTTACCCCTTCAAAGAAAGCAGCTCCAATGCTCCCCTATGGGTTTCACTGGTGGTGTGTCTTCCGCTAGGGTGAGGCTAGCAAGAGTCCAGCAAGAGAGACAGACAGCCCTCGGAGTGGCCACCACGGCTTCGTTATGGACCCCTCGCCACCACGCTCTCCCGACGGCCCTGCCTGCCCTGCCTGCCCTGCGCTGGAGGTACGGCAAGTAGCTGTGCATACCATACTTCATTACAGTCTTTATAACAAAGCTGCTGCTGCTGATGGATACAAAAAAGCAGAGACCGGACAAAGTTTTGTTTTTCAACATGTCACTGGATTATATAAATCCCGATAGCCAATCGGCTGCTGGGCAAAATTATATATCATTAACCTTCAATCCACTGCTGGATGAGGGCATCCCTCGCCAAGCCACCACCATCCTCCCAATGATCACGAAATGCAAAACAATTCACCCAGCACCGGAGCACCTCCCCTGCAGGTGTCCATCTCCTCGGCGGATGTTTTCTCGGACGCATTCTGTCCCTTGACTGCGACTCCGTCATTACTCTTGGCCATTGACCTTCATCTTCCCTATGTGGGAAGAGGTCCAAGAGTAGCCGATTCGAGCTCTGACCCCGCACCTCCGTTTTGCGATATTTTGTTATTATTATTTTGGTTCTTTTAAGGCGCTGTTGAAATGTTTAAACACGAATTCTCGTGTGGAATAGCTTAGTTGTAAAAAACATTACTTTTCAGTCATAATTTTCATTTTATGAGAATAAACACAACTACATGTAAGTATATAAGTGAAACATGAGCGGTGGTAACAACGTGGTAATTGACGGTTTGTAATTGTCACGGTTATCAAATATAATAAATGGTTTAGACATATTCTTTGGGAAAAGGCCAAAAAAGACTGATGGCGTTACCTATAGAAGAAGTCAATATTGGCGATGAAGAATTATTCGCTGTGTTAATAAGCAAGCTACATGCACAAAGTCAATACATAGATTGTTCAAGGGGTTGAAGGTTCTATTTAATCATTTTATCCATCAGCCCGTACATTTTTCATTCGTACAAACAAAAAAATATTCTCAGAACTATAGGTGACCACAAAACAGGTCGTTCTTCATGAACGCGATCCACACAGAGTGGAGGGGGACACGTCCTCTTTGTGGAACGCCAAGACTATTTACCTAACCCCCGATGTCATTGAGACGAAGCTCGAGCGTTGGAGAGTGACATCGTCTAAACGGTTAGGAAATGTATTAAAGTGAAAAATGTCCGCGTTGACTAAAGGGGCCGTCTATAAATGACGTCACGCACCTGGGGGGGGGGGGTCAGATATTTGTGACGATTTGTGACGAGGGGGGGGGGGGGTTAAGAAATGTGACGTCAGATCAAATGCGCAACTTTAAATAAATATAGACAACACGTTCTACTTAATTAAATAGACTTTTAAATACATGTTTTCTCCTACAACATCAGAGTGCAGCGCAACATTAAAATAGGCACTACAATAAAGGGATTTGAAGCATGTTTTATTTTCAAAATGGAAATATGGTTTTGGGGGGGGGGGGCAGAGCTTTGTGACGTCATATTTGAGGGGGGGGTCTGACTTTTTGTGACGCCGTGTGACGAGGGGGGGGGGGGTCAAAAATCGTCCAAAATCGCGTGACGTCATGGACGGCCCCTTATTTTGTTTCGAGCAACATATTCTGCCTGTAGACATTTTCAAATAATAAAAATAATAATTCAACCCTTCATCAATCCACCGCTGGATGATGTCCTATCTACAATGTGTTGCTTTTGCAGGGTTCGTTTTGCCATATTTCACCACGCTGGTCGCCATGCTGGTTCGGGAATAGGGCCACGTGGAACTGGTTCACATGTCACTTGCCACTCATGTTAGCCGTGGCCTGGAATCAAACTCAGGTGGGCAGGTTCATAGCGCAATCCGTTAACCACTGCGTGGCAATGGAGCTTGCCCCAAACATACACGTGTAGAATGTACAGGGTGTCTATAAAGACATCATTGTAGAATTATAATGATACTGCGATTTCAGCCAGTTCAATAAAACTGTACACACACACACTCGCACGCCTCCGTTGAGCAGTTGGCTACTTAAGGTGCGAAATAAGTTCAACATACATACACACGTACGCACACTCTAAGAGAGTTATTTTATTTTCCACGACAAATCCTCCACGTGGCTTTGGCGACACGGGTCGTCGTATCGAGCTTCAGGTGTTTGCCAGCATCTCGAGTGCGATCGTCTCTAATGCCTCTGTCGTGTGCAGTTGAAGATCACCCACGTTTTGTAGTTGAAATCAAACAAACACAAACCTATAAAACGAATTTGTCGGCAGCATTCCAACCGTGCCACTCATGCTCCTGTCAAAATTACGATTTAACAATAATGGGCAATACTTTTATGAACACCCGTGATAAGGATCTACGAGCTATACGTTGTATTTTCTTTTATACATCGGGGTAAAAGTATTTTTAAAAAACCTGTATGTATGTATGTTGAACTTCTTCTTGGTTCTTTCAGAAAAGTCACGTGACTTTACCGAAAGAACCAAGAAGATGAATCCCTGCAGTCACGAAAGCTTTAAATCGAAATATGTTGAACTTTTTTCACACCGTACGTAGCCAATCTTGCTAATCGGATGTGTAGAAAGCATTGCTCATGTCACTGCTGGTGGAAGGGCTTTCAGCAGAGGGGAGCTCCAGAGAGCTTTTCTAGAGGATGCCTACTCTTCCATGCTGGGCAGACGTCTTGTAAGAGGTGTTAGCGCCCACACTTTACCCCACCACACGTAACTTGGTGATCGATGGGCTGCAGCGTGCGCCCATTAATACGCTGCGGTTGGAGGCAACGTGCGAGGAATGGTGCACTTTGTTTCTCAACCGCTGCGCCGGTGCGTACCTACTTAAACATGTACCCCCCCACCCCCGGCATTATTTCCCTACCCTTTTCCTACTTTAAATACGATCCGCGAGTGTTTAGCTCACACCTCCCCTTCAACTTGATTTTCTGTTTGCACATAGTCACTTTAAGATGTTTTCTTGTTCATGTTTTAGTTTTTTTGTTTGTTGCGGTTGCACCCGATTCAAGAGCCGAATGGCTCACAGGGCTATACCAAATAAATGAAACTGAAACTTGTACAACTTTCGCGATGGTTTTTTCGTTACCCCGAGAATTGACACGCCGCCATGCCGCAGGGGTGATCTGCGGACAGCCAGGGAGCTGAAATTGGTCGACGCTTGCCCCTGCCGTGGCGATCTTCCTTCCAGCTCGCTCGGCGCGATCACGAGTTGCCACGTGCGACAACGCTACTCACCGACGCATTTGTATATTTCTATTTAAAGCTTTCGTGACTGCAGGGATTCATCTTCTTGGTTCTTTCGGTAAAGTCACGTAGAAGGGAAATAATAAAATAATCATAATAATAACATAATAAAATAATTCTCACGACGTTTCGTCCACAGCGTCAATCAGACGCTGTTTCCCCGGCAGACCTGGTCTTCACCTGAGGACGGCTGCTTGCGTTGTGGCCGAAACGTCGTGAGAATTATTTTATTATTTTTTATTTTATTATGTTTTATTTCACTTCTACGTGACTTTACCGAAAGAATCAGGAAGCATTTGTATTTTTTTTTGTTCGCAGCAAAACTCGGAGGACATTTCTCCCGGGACCGGCGTGCAGAAGGGAATCATTACGGGAGGCCACGCGCTTCACAACAATATAACGGCATCGACGCCTGCACGTAACGTGTCTCCTCCAGTTCATTATCAAATAGATTCTGCTTTCGTTCCGCGCCACTGTTCAATGCGCGGGGCCTGGCTGTAATGTAAAAACCCCGCACGCGCCGCTTTGTCAATTGCCCTCCAATGATGTATTACTTACATTTTGAAAATACAATTAAAATTAAATGGCCTGCCGAGGCAGTTGTGCTCTTTTCCGGTCGGACATGACATTGCATCGCTGCCCCCGCGAGCTTACGTGCTTGCACACTTACGCGCTCCAACGTTCCGCCTTTTTTGACAGCTTGCCCGGCAAACACAGAAGACCCTGCGGTGGCTGCGAGCATCAACCTGACGGATTGCGACGATGTCCCTGTGAGTATTCCTTTAAACCCCACCCCACACACACACACTCCTCCGGCCCGCCGCTACGGAACACGCAGCATCGTTTCAAGAAGTGGCGAAGCGGAGGGGACTGTAAATTTAAATGCATTGCTTAACATCGAGAGCGATAAAAAATAATTACGTCGAGGGACGAGCATTAGCAGCCCCCATCAATTTGTCCTCACGCCTTGAGGCTAGGCCCGAGGGAGGAAGAGCTTCCATCACGCCACTCTATGCCGCGGGGAGATAGCGCCTCGCTCGTTAAGACGATTGATGGCGCGAATTGAGCAATCGGACCCGGCCTTCCAATAACGCGCGCCGGAAAAACTTTGCGCGTCCCGCTATTAACGACGGTGGCACGTGCGCGCGTGCAAATGTGATGCACTGCGCTGCGTGCGCCAATGGCAGAGGGATCGCCGCTTTATAACCGGCGCGGTGCCCAGGAGCGCGTCTGACACGGAGGCGAGATGTTGACTACCTTGCCTGGTATGCAGGAGGTCGTGGGTGCAATCTCGACCCTTGGCTCCTGTATATTTGGAGTTTGCGTGTCTCTCTCCGCGTGGTCGCGTGGGTTTTTCTCCAGGTCATCCGGGTTTTCCCCTCCACATTTAGACACGTGCGTTGAGGGTATTTGGCTGCGATAGATTTCCACACGATAAGCCACTTTCGTTGAGCTATCATTTTTGATAGCCAGGTTAGCTTCTGAAAAAAAGACCCGTATAGCTCAGTGGGCCTTACGTGGTCAAAGAACAAAAACATTTAGAATAGTAAAATAGTAACTGGCGCGGACGCGCGGTACTGGCCGTGGGCGCATCGCAGCCGGCGTGCACGAATCCCATGGGTCCGTTCTTTTACCCATCGCCTGCTCATGCTGCAGACCGTTGATTACAAGGCGCTGGCCACTTCATGTTGGACGTCAGCAGGCGTCGTGAAATCACTCGCGCGATGGCCATCGGTTCGTCAGTTCGCAGTGGAAATGTAGGAAATGGTAAATTAATCCTAACCTTTCGCTAAGTCATGAAAACAATGCAGCCATATTTTTGTTATTTGTATTGTTGACCTTTCAAAATGTCTGCTCTTTTTTGCAGTATGCTTTTAGGTCTAAGGAGATTGTTATTAGCTTTTGTCTAAAGCTTAGCCATCATTAAGTAGCGGCTCGGTGGTTAGAGCCCTGCAGACTGAACCTGAAGGCCTAATATGAGGGGGGCTATTGATATCAGGACCAGGATTGTGTTTCCAGTAAACATGGAACGTTTGCCCAACGTTGGCATATTTACTGGGCTGGCCCCCTTCACGAACTCGCACAAACCATCGTGGCGACGACGTATGGTTCAACAACCCACAAGATCGAAAGTAGCATGGGGAGGCCTTCATAGAGGAGTGAATTAACAAAGGAATGTCGTCTTCTTGGTGCTTTCGGTAAAGTCACGTCGAAGGGAAGTAATAAAATAATAAAACATAACAAAATAATTCTCAAGACGTTTCGGCCACAACGCAAGCAGCCGTCTTCAGGTGGAAAAGAGGTCTGTCGAAAACACCTGAAGACGGCTGCTTGCGTTGTGGCCGAAACGTCGTGAGAATTATTTTGTTATGTTTTATTTTTATTATTTTGTTATTTCCCTTCTACTAGACTTTACCGAAAGAACCAAGAAGATGAATCCCTGCAGTAACGAAAGCTTTAAATCGAAAAGGAATGTCGATTATTATAACAATGTGTCGAAAAATGACGCTATCTTTTCAACAAGAAAAGATCGTGTTTACTTTTCCTCATTAGAACCTTTAAAAAGTGCACACTTTCTCAAATATAGAACTCAAACTCGTGATATGTATTAATCGTCTAGCCTGGAGCGTCGGTTTGTGAATACAACGCTTCCGACTGGCCCCCAACAGTTCTCAATGTATGTTAAGGTCATTTAAGTTAAGAAAATTGTAACAAAGTGAGACAGTTCATTTCCTGACATGTTTGTACACAAAGGGAGGAAAAAAGTTGCCTCGGCAAAAAGAGTATTGGGAAAAGTCTGTGTAACAGATGTTTTAGGTTACACAATATTTATCTTCAGTGCGCCTGCGTGTCTGCAAATATTTTTTAAAGTTGCTCAGACGGTTCAAGAATATTGTAAAATAATTATTCTTTTCTGGAAGCTCAATCTTTTGTTTTCCTCTTCAGTTTAAATTAGCTTACGTCTTTTTAAAAAATGTTTAAATCAAGGGCGAGCCGTCTGGTTGAGATGCTCATCTTGATGCTGTTAAATAGCCGCGGTCAAGTGTGTGCCGTCCGTGTAGCGTGCTGCTTCGCTTGGCAGTTCTAACTTATGAGACATTAAACATCAACAGCCATAACTGTGTTGTTTTAAAAATGTTTAAATAATGTAGAAAATAAATCTCGAACCTCCCAAACGAAATTTACGCCCCTGACAAGTGTTCTTTTAAGGTAATCGTACGTAACAGTTATGTTTAAAGTTAGGCTTGAGGTAAACCGTAGGGTAGGTTTTAGTGTAATTTGATTTCGTTTGGTGCGTCTAGAAACACAACTGCATTTGCATGCATTTTCTGCCTTTGAGGTAGCACGTTTGCCACACTCATATACAAGAACACGAAGTCGAATTTGGATTTTTGTACGGCGATTAAATACGAACCGCGTCTCAACACTGAACACAAACAGTGGGACGTGCATCACCACAGAGGAAGGAGCTGTACGTCTTAATAATGTGGAAGAGAAAGTCATCAGCACAAGAGAATAGGAAGTACGTACCACAATGAAACATATCATGATAAATAATAGACTGCATATAAACACGTTTTGACTAGAAAAGTTATAGTACGTGAAGCTAGGGAAGACGGCGGATTAGGTTACAAAAGCGATTAAACAATTGGATGCAACTGGGAGTAATGCAAAGTTCTTGAGCAAATATGCACAGAGCTTAATGTAAAGAAGGCCATGATGATCGCCGACGTCTTTGAAAAAGTCCGTGCCACTACTGTATTTACATTAAAATCAAAATTTAATCTTACCATGTTATAGGATTCTATAGAGGACAGCATGAACGTGAGTGTGTGAGCGCGTGCGTGCATGCGGTAGTGTCGCGGTTAGCGCACTATGCTACGAACCCCTGTTCGATTGCCGCTCACGGCCAACACCAGTGGCAATTATCTAAACCGGTCTCGGGCATCCCCTAGGTCGACTCAGCCTCAAATGAGTCCCTGATGCGGTGTGTGTAAATATCGCCACGAGGGAGACAAACGCAGCCGGGCGTAGTGTTGGCCACCCACCCCCTCGTGTGCCATGCTGGTCTTCATAGGTGCTCATTAACAGCACTTGCCCCAACAGTCAACCGAAATGGCTGTGTTGTAGACTTTGGCTGCGAGGTGGCCATGGGATTGTAGTGTTGAGTGTCACCCCCCCATACGCGTGGTGTTCACCCAGGAACTCGGGTTTCTTTCCACATGAAGCCAAATACTCATCGATGGCATTGGTAGAATATCCTAACACAGAAACCCTCCCGAAGAAAGAGGCCGGAGACTCAGTGAGGCTTCTCTGGATAAATAATTGGAAATATTTACTGTAAAAAAATCCCCTAAGTTTTTATGTCTCCATAATTTCCCAGTGCGATGGCTGTCGGATGTACATTCAACACACCAGAGGTAGCAAGCCCACTGAAACATGTGGCTTAAGAAAACCTTCCACAGCTACAGTAATCGTTTCTAATTATTGGTGTTATTATTTCTTTGCCTGGGGCTGCTGTCGAAAAGGGAGACATGGCAGAAGAGACATGTATGTATAACATGATTTATAACGATGCTGAGCTCTTTCAAAATCCACTGCTCGATGAAGGCTTACCATCACTGCATTGGTCACGTGGGGCTGTTTGACCATACTTCACCATAATGATGAGTGTGGGTTGGTAAAGGGGGGCACCTACAACTGTTTCAGATATCACTTACCACTGATGTTAGCAAAAGGCAGGAATCAAATTCAGGTTGCTGGGTTCATCCTCCAATGGTTTCAGAGTCTCCGTTGCCCACAAACACCCTCGCCGTTTGATGTGCATAACACAGCCCACGATTTAACATTCTACACTGAAATTGAATTCACCATTTCCCCTGATGCATACAGTTCCCGAGTTCCGTTTTTGACCATCGTCACAGGCGGTGCACACGCTGGAGTGAAGCACACAACTTCCTCGCCTGCTGTTAATGGGGCGTGGGTTCAATCCCGACCGTGACGCCTGCTGCATGTTTGGTAGCTTGCGCGTTCTCCCCGTGATCGCATTGATTTTTCTCCGGGTACCTCCGGTTTTTCCCTCCACATTTTTAAACGTGTGTTTTAGAGTATTTGGCTGCGATACATTTCCACATAATAAGCCAATTTCGATGAGCTGTCATTTGTGGACAGGTCACTTCTGAACAACATTCCTGCTGCGGAGGGAGCTGGTAGGAACGTTGGGTTGCTCGGTCAATGGCCTGCAGGGTCAACGGCGGCGTGGTGTATTCCGCAAATATGCCCGACTGTGAGGGCGGGCACAAGCCGGCGTGAGTAGGTTAAACGTTGAGTTTTATAAGGGCACCACGGGGTGACCAGTCCCTCCCCACCCAGCCCCTCCCCACCCTCCCCACCCAGCCCCTCCCCACCCTCCCCACCCAGCCCCTCCCCACCCTTCTCACCCAGCCCCTCCCCACCCTCCCCTCTCCACCCAGCCCCAACCCTCCCACCCCCCACCCAGCCCCACCCTCCCCACCCAGCCCCTCCCCACCCTCTCCACCCAGCCCCTCCCCACCCTTCTCACCCTACCCCTCCCCACCCTCCCCTCCCCTCTCCACCCAGCCCCACCCCTCCCATTTTTTGATGCACGACGGACGGACACAATAATCCGCTGTGGGCTGGTGGAACCAGGTGGTTCCTAGCAGTAAAAGAGCTATATAGCTCAGTGGGCCTTATCTGGTAAGATAAAAACAGAGTAGTTTAGTTGTATTTGTGTATTTTTTTAAAGCGATTTGTTTATCTTTCCTATACTGTGCATTCTTATCGTGTTTTTTGTATTGTTTGTTGTTGTGACGTTCTGACCCGCCCCTTCTGGACATCTGTAAAAATTAGCTTCATAGCTCATCCCATGCATTCATTCATCACGCATCGTCAGCGAAGGGTCGCTGCGTCAAACGCGTGACCTCTTGCGACAGCATTCGCATAAACTGCTCTTGCTGCCATACCCCGAGTGTACATAGACATTCCGATTCTGATGATTCTGATCCGACGTCGAGGAACTAAAGAGGCTCCCTGCACGGTGTCGCAAACCGTCGGACACCGTGCCAACAAAACCACGGCGCACCCCACCAATGCATCAGCGCAGCTGCACCACCCTGAGAGCCGAGGCAACGGTGAGACTGCGATATCGACACTCATCATGAACATTTCGCTCGCCTGCAGCAGGAGAGTGGAGAGCAAGGGCACGGGATTGAAGGTGAACGCGAATGGCTTCCCGCTCCTGAATGCAACTCGAGCGAGACGCGACAGCCAGTGGATCCGGGTGACGTCAACCAACAGGTAAAGGTGCATATTCTTAGTTTTTTTCGGTAAAGTCACGTAGGTAAAATATTAAAATTAATAAAAGTAAAATAAAATAAAAATAAAAATCACGATGTTTCGGAGGCAACACAAGCTTCCGTCTTCAGGTGGAACCGTCACAGCTACGACAGCTGTATCAAGTAAATGAGAGATTGCAGGAGCTACCACTCCGTTTATATAATGGTAGCTCCTGCAATCTCTCATTTACTTGATACAGCTGTCGTGGCTGTGACGGTTTCACCTGAAGACGGAAGCTTGTGTTGCCTCCGAAACGTCGTGATTTTTATTTTATTTTACTTTTATTAATTTTTATGTTTTACTTACGTGACTTTACCGAAAAAACCTAAGAATATGAATCCTTGCAGTCACGAAAGCTTCAAATCTAGAATTAAAGGTAAAGGTGCAGCCCTGCAATTGCTTGCTTACCACGCTGCTGCCGGAAAAAAAACAACAACCCTGTGCTCGAGAGCTCCCTATGTCTGGTACATTGGCCCCCTCTTCCACGCCGGCCAGACGTCTTGAAAGAGGCGGGAGTTCCCACATTCTATCGCCACCACACACGCGAACTGTCGATCGGCACTCATTTGTGCCGACGAGCGGACAGAGTTCGGTGGGGGGAGGATTCAAGAAAACTTGCGCCATGATCTCACGCAGCGAGAGCGAACCTCTGCATCGCCAGTCTCGCGTGCTCACCGTCTAAACCACGGGCACAACAAAGTCGGGACTCACCCGCTCTGCAGCTTGCCGTGGGTCCTGCGGCAGCGCACACCGCAGAGCTGCGTATGCGCGCTCGTGCCGGTTGAATGAGGATTGTTCAAATGAAGGATGACGACTCACGGCAATCAAAACAGGCCACATGCGGAGATAGGCACCTGAAGATGACAAGACCCTGCAGATAGCTGGGGGGGGGGGGGGATTTATGGTCGTCGGCATCCACCCCCTCTAACTTTCACCCCCCCCTCTCCCCCCCCAGTTATCATATCGGGCTGACACTCAGACACCAGTGTGTGCTATGTAAAGTGCTTGGCATACATCGTCCATCGCCGCTATCGCTTTACGTTTAATGTTGAACGTGGATTCAAACTGTGAGATTACCTACTACACGTGCCTTGCCTATATTTCCTGGCACGGGATGCCTCGGCATGCGTCAATTATGTATTATAAATGTTTCGAGTGTTCTGGCACCTTTATTTATGTTTTTGAGCTTTGGAAATTAATATTATATTATTTGGATATGTCCCCGTGCAGACACGGACAATGACAATAGGCTAAATTTTGATTTAAAGCTTTCGTGACTGCAGGGATTCATATTCTTTGTTCTTTCTGTAAAGTCACGTAGAAGGGAAATAATAAAATAGTAAAAATATAAAACAATAAACATTTTACGACGTTTCGACTGCAACACAAGCAATCGTCATCAGGTGTGAAATCCACAGCAAGAAAATTGATTGCTTGTGTTGCAGTCGAAACGTCGTGAGAATTTTTTTGTTTTATCTTTTTATTATTTTATTATTTTCCTTCTACGTGACTTTACCGAAAAAAACAATAATATGACAATAGGCGAATACGATTTTTTTAAGGTTAATAAAAAAACAACTGACTTTCTATACATAATCTTGATTTTTTTTCAATACATAAATTGCGTGTATATTAAAAGAACATTTAGATCATGCTCATGGTAGCGGGGTGTGGAACGCTGGTGCTAAAAATATCTGGCAACTTGAGGTCGATTTCTGGCCACGGCTAACGTCAGTGGCGAGTGACGTCTGAACCAATCCTGGCCCAATCCCATTCACCGCGCTGCGCTGACCAGTGCAGTGCACTGCGGTCAAACAACCCCCCATGGATCTACGGGGCAACCAGCAGTGGACTGTTAGGGGTTGTAAATCAATCCGTGGGTCATGAGGAGGCCTCCATCCAGCAGTGGGTTGGCACATTTAATTATATTTCATGGGACCTCCTTTGCCAGTACCGAAATATGATAATAGGGTTTTCCACTTTTTTTCTGGCAACAAAGCAGCTGCTTAGATGTTAAAACACTAAACTTAAACCGTTTACAAGGAAAAACACTGATAACACTGGTCAACAACAAAAAAATAATCTGGCCTGGACTTTTGCAGCTGTTTTAGACTAATTTCAGGGTGCTGATTCCAAATCTGATCTCAGATTTGCTCTATCACATCATTTTTATGCTATCAGCATACCCCATTTTCATTGATTTTACCCGAAATTAACTCTGTCACTTATGATTGCAAGTTGTTGCGAGTCAATGACTGCTTTAGTGTTAAAATATGGTGCTGTATTTTTAGGATCGTGTGTTTATAATATCATTTTATGTAGAAATTCACATTTATTTAATATTTTTCTTCTGCCGTTTTTGTTGAAAATGCAATATTTGATATCTCAAAAACCTGATGTGATAAACAAAAACTGATGCCAGATTTGGAATCAGCACCCCCAAATTACTTTAAAACCGTTGGAATACCTTATGCCAGAAAAAGTGTGTTGACCAGTGTAATATATGCATTGTCCACACTTCTGGTCTAACATCGTTTGAGACGAGGCTCAAAAGAAAGCTATCTCTGGTGTGGACCAATCAGTTTTAAGGACAATGCATATATTGCGTGTATATTGTTTGCATTTTGACCACAATCATTGTGGTTAATGCAGACATGATTCTTGTAAAAGGTTTCAGTTTGGTGTTTTAACATCTTAACACAGCTGTTTTGTTGCCAGAAAAAAGGTAAAATAACAAAAAATTCCGCTATTTTGAATGATGCACCAGAGTTGGTGGTCACGTTGCTGCAGCGGCGTTGCATCCCGCGACGACGGCGAGCGTCACGTGCCCACCGTCATCCCGTGCTTGCACGCGTCCGTTTTTCAGCTCAATTTAAATTATGCCAAACGCTCAACGCAATGGTGAATACATTGAAATGTGACAGATTTGGCAGCATGGAGGAGGCTGGTCGCGAGCCCCTTCGTGTTCATTACATGCGAGTGAACGATGGTCGGCACAGCTGGAGGCAGATACAAACGGACACGCTGCAACTCGAGGGAGGCTCCTGCCACCGTCGAATGAAAAGTGGAGTCCCGTGCGGTCCGTCCGCCCCGAGCCTGCCGCTCGACGACCAAACGGTGGGCACCGTGCGAGAGACGAGGCAACGGGCAGCCGACTGAGCGCGATAATTAGGGCCACGATCTAATAGCGAAATGCTTGAAGGCGATTCTTTTAGAAGAAAATGTTAACGTTTTTCGAGCTGCGTTGAGACTGAAATCAGCTCATGGGTGTGCAGGCGTTAGATCAGGGGTCGGGAACCTTTTTGACTGGGAGAGCCATAAAAGCCAAATATTTCTAAATATATTGCATTGAGAGCCATATAGTATTTTTAACGTATAATAAATTAAATATGTCTTACTTTTAATGCGACTTCTGGTGCCGCATGGTTTTGCTGATGGCCTTGTAGTCTGGTTCGTACGTGGTGAGGTTGAGCTTCATGCAGGCGTTGAGGCCCCGTGACCCGTGAAATTTATCTTCAAAACTAATTTCTGTTTACTTTAAAATGACACAGTATTATTAAGCAATATCACAAGTATTTTAAAATCAGTTCCAAACTGATTTTTTTTATTTTTTTTTCAACTCAAAATTGTCTGGGAGCCATATGCCGTCACCGGAAGAGCCATATATGGCTCGCGAGCCATAGGTTCCCGACCGCTGCGTTAGATGGATTGTTGCATCGCAGGGCCGTGAGAGATGGGGACAGCTTCGGGGCGGGGAAGCCTTCAGCCAGCAGCAGATTGGAAATTTTCTACGTTTGCGTTTGTTCAGAAGCTGGTGTTCCGATGTGTAATGTCGAAAGCAAGTATGTACGTTGGACTTGTGTTGCACCGTACAAAGCCAACTGCTAATCAGAGGTGTGGGGAAAGGACGTAAAAATGTTTACAGTGTTTGGTCAAATTGTAATTGCATGTCGTTAAATGTACATGGTGTTTCAAAAGTCTGTAAAAGCTTAAATTTGTATGATGCCAATAATTAATGTGATACTCAATTTGTGCCATGTCAGTACCGCAACAGTATTTCTCGTAGTGTAAACCGTGGCTACGTAAGGCTACTATATGGCTACTGCAATACATGGTACACTGCGGTAAACATGTGCTGAATCATTCCCAGTTTTTACGTGGAAACTGTGGATTTTTTTCTCTCGATTAAAATATAGAAAAGGGAGAATTTACCCATTTGTCCAAGCTAAAAAGTACATTTGCTTTCACGGTGCATCACATTAATAAATGTGCATTGTGAAACATCAGATAATTTTTTCAAAGTAAGATTTATCACCATTTAAAGTTGCAGCTAAAACAACTGCAACATTAATCACGGGGCATTAACTCTTTGTGCAAACGCGTTCATTTCCTGCCTGGGGCTCAACGCGAAAGTTTTGTACCTGCAGTCAGTACCTCCTACGTCTGTCACCAGCGCGTCATGGCCAACAAGTCTGCGGTTAAACTCATCATCGTTGCTGTGTTGACATCGCGAGCCTCTCGTACATACCGTGTGCATTATAATGACGACGGCGTATTAATTGCTGGAAGAAAAAAAGAGCAAGCCAGCTTTAAAGACGCCGAGTTAATCTTCATCCACGCGGCCTGTCAAAACTCTTTCTCAATACAAGAACGGCGGCGTTACTCCCAGCGTAGTGGTGTCAAGTCCCACGCTTGTAAAATCGTGACAGTGCCAATATACACGCTTTAAAGTGACAGTTCTGGACATTGGGGACACATAAACTCGGCTCCGTATTTGGTCGCACTTTACCTCAAAGGGTGTGCGCAGAAAAGCCAAACGCCTCTGTCCGGCCGTTGATTAAGCTGTTTTGTTGGCTGTGCAGGGCACAGGCAACGGGAGTCTGCCCTGGGTGTTCCAGCTTCCTTATCGCCTGAGCCAGCTGCCTGACCTAAAGGCCGTGATTTATTCTCTCGGCTCTGCCCCCGGCGAAAATGAATTTCTCTTGTCTTGTCCTAGACTTCGCCTGCGCTGATGCCGGTGCCCGGCTCTCACCCGCGGCGTCGGGGCCACAGCGTGACCAGGTGTACGCAGGCCTCGTGAGGTTCCACGAGTCTCTGAGCCGCGTGCTGCGAGAGTCAGGTGAAACGCGTCGCGTCGAGCCTGGTGTTTCCTACCTCTGTGTTATTATTATTATTGGAGGGCCTCTCAAAAAGGACAACAGTGGTTGCCCTATTCTTGGTTCTTTCGGTAAAGTCACGTAGAAGGGAAATAATAAATAATAAAACTATTAAATTCTCACGACGTTTCGGCCACAACGCCAGCAGCCGTCCTCAGGTGAATAAAATTGGTTGCCCTGCGGAGCGACTCATCCCCACCATGGGAATGTGGAATTTCTACCACTGGCTCAAGGCTATACATAGGAATTGCCTCAATGCTCATTTGAGCAGGGAATTACGTTGACTCGTGGAATGCAGACTTATTTGCTAATATTCACCAGAAGTCTTTCTATTATTCAACTTATCAGGAAATGATTCGACATTCTGAGCATGACTGAACGCAATCATGTAAAAACAAACATATCGATGTTCCAAACTTAATAAAGGTGTTAATCAGTGTATATTACCTAAGAAAATTTTTATTTTGGAAAAGAAGATGAAACAACATTTGAAAAGTACGAACAAAAGCATGGAAAGGTGCATTGCTTGGAATTACACTGAGATGCAGAGAGAGAGAAGCACATGGATTGGAGAACATTCGTGAGAGAAACCATATAGAAGAAAAGTCAGTGGGCTTGGACAGGACGCATGGCCGATGTAGGCCAAGAACAATGACAGAGTGGCAACCAGAGAGGACAACCACAACGGAGATGGAACATTTTGCATGGCATACGCTCGATGGATTGTGGCATCGCAGGACCGTGGTGAGACGTGACGACAACTTGTGGAGGCCTTCATCCACGAGTGGATTGATGATGGCTGCTGGCTGCTGATGACTATCATCATTGTCCTTGTCAATATCTTGTCGTTCGGCATGAATACTTTTGCACGGCGGTATATTTCCAACAGGTGTCCCGTGCCCTTGCTGCTCCCTTGTGCAGGGACTTCTGCGGAGGAACTGCTGCCTCCTGTCCCGGCCGTGGAGTTCGTTTCTGGGGAGTTACCGGCACTGCCCTGTCGGCTTGAGCTCTACAGCCAACAGCTTCTGACGAGCGCTCTCACAGGTATGGTTGCCACCCCAACTAAACTATGAATTGTTTTTTTAATTTTATTTTACCAGGTAAGACCCCAACTGAGCTATATAGCTCTTCTTATTGGTTCTTTCGGTAAAGTCACGTAGAAAGGAAATAATAAAATAATGAAAATAAAACATTACAAATAATTCTCATGACGTTTCGGCTACAACGCAAGCAGCCGTCCTCAGGTGAAGACCAGGTCTGCCGGGGAGACAGCTGTCTTTGCTGTCTTTCCGACAGACCTGTTCTTCACCTGGATTGGAGGACAGCTGTCTTTGCTGTCTTTCCGACAGACCTGTTCTTCACCTGAGGATGGCTGCTTGCATTGTGGCCGAAACGTCTGCTTGCGTTGTGGCTGAAACGTCGTGAGAATTATTTTATTATGTTTAATTTTTTGTTATTTTTTTATTTCCCTTCTACGTGACTTTACCGAAAGAACCAAGAAGATGAATCCCTGCAGTCACGAAAGCTTTAAATCGAAATTTAATCCTCGAAAAAACTGGAAAAACCAGCATTGGCGAGATGTTAACTCCCTCGCCTGGTATGCAGGAGGTCGTGAGTTCGATCCAGACGCTGACGCCTGCTGCTGTATATTTGGAGTTTGCGTGTCTCTCTCCCCGTGGTCGTGTGGATTTTTCTTCGGGTACCTCCCGGTTTTCCCCTCCACATTTAGAAACGTGCGTTGAGAGTTATTTTGCTGCTATAAATGCCCCCGTGATAAGCTACTTCGTTGAGCCATCATTTGTGGCCAGTTCGCTTCTGAAAAAGAGCTATTTATTTCGATTTAAAGCTTTCGTGATTGCAGGGATTCATCTTCTTGGTTCTTTCGGTAAAGTCACGTAGAAGGGAAGTACTAAAATAATACAAATAAAACAATAAAATAATTCTCACGACGTTTCGGCCACAACGCAAGCAGCCGTACTCAGGTGAAGAATGAAACACCACCAAGCTTGGAGCGTATATTTAAGCTGGGCCTGTTTGCCCTGGGAAATATGTAAGTCATTCCGGGACATGGGCGGTGACTTGGTCGAGTGGTCGCAGTTTTTCCAATTTGTAGCAGAGTTTTACGGTTACAGCGCCACAGACACCATGGTTAATTCTGCGGGCGTGTTAGTCGTTACATTTGTGCCGTCTTCTTCACAGTCAATGTTAAGGGATCCTAATTATGTGTGCTGGCGTCAAGGTCCAAATTTGCAAAAATGTTGAAAAAAGACCTGAATATTCCTCAATTGGGGAAAATCTGCGTAGAAAATGTCACCCTCTGCTGCAAAACATAGCAGGAACCACCTCAAGATGTCTTGAAACTCAGTGGGGCTTTTCTGTACAAATGAATGAATAACAATGTCATTAAAAGTCGCGGTATTTGTCTGTTGTCTAATAATTCACCATTCCAGACAATGCATTTACATGTAGTTCACCGCTTCTTCAGATATTGCGAGATGTTTCCATGATATGCCCCTGGTGTTTTTTTTTTTCCATTAAAGTGGCTACTCTACTCACAGGTACGATCAGTGGAAGGGTTAACTGTGAAAGAGTAGCTATGAAGACGCCTGATCGCTGAGCAATGAAAAGGTCTTTTAAACAGACAATGGGAAGAGTGGTCATTTTGATGAAAAACTGGCTTATCCAGCGATGGACCGGCCCAGAGATGTGTTTACAAGGCTAAGCGATAAATACACATTACGATGTTTCTTGGAATGATTTCTTGCACATCCATCATATCGTTCTTTCTCTCCCAGCGATTCAACAACTGTGCAGTTCTGAATCTGCCTTCTCTTGCCACGAAAACACCATTCAGAATACCTTGAGAGCGGAACTGCAAACAAGGCTGCAAGGATTGTGAGTCTATATTGACAGTTGGCTTGTCCGCTAATTCTCGTGTCACGTGCCACTGTTTATCATGAAAAAAATATATAAATTTGAGAGAACGTGTTTGGACATTTTTTGTGAAATGTGCTTTCCCCGTTTCATAACACAGGTAACGTTTTAAGTGCCAATAAATTGCCTGGCGAGCGTGACCCAGTTTATAACGTCAGTGGAGCCGCAATTTACGAACCGCAGTGATAACTCTTCTGCCCTTCCTTCTTGGCGCAGGGAGAACCGTGCAGGGGGCATGAGACATCAGCACATCGTGGACTCGCGCGAGGAGGCAGAGATGTCCCAGGCGAAGGAAGTCGTTCACCCACTACAGAGAGAACCGAACCACGATTGTGTCAGTACCGCCACCACATACTAAACACACGTGCAGCCATTTTTTTGTTGCGTGTGATTCCATTGCCAAATTAAAAGCCTCTCCGTGGCGTGAGGGTGGTGGAGGGGTTATTTGACCATACTTCACCACGCCGGTCAGTGAGGGTTGGTGAACGTTGGGTAACATAGACGTGGGAGCATAGTACAGTACACACTTAGATTTGAAGTTTTAGTGACTGCAAGGATTCATACTCTTTGTTTTTTTCGGTAAAGTCACGTAGGTAAAAATGTATTTAAAACATTTAAAAATTCATTTATTTTAATTTTTTACCTACGTGACTTTACCGAAAAAAAGAAAGAGTACAGTTCACACATTTAGTTTTCTGCCCTGCCCTATGCTGCCCACTATATAATCTCCCCAACAGCAGCCGATTATCGAAACACTATCTATGGTCATTCTTGCTTAGCTTCCGAAATGATCATGGGCATGACAATTTACACTGCTGGGGCACATGTCTATTTACAGACGCCTGTGTGGTGGAAAGCGTTTGTGCCATAAATATCTGTGGAGCAACATGTGTTTCTGTGATGGTGGGGTTTCAAATGTCTTGCCTTATAGGTTGATCAAAGATCAGCAGAGAACTTATATCAAGTTGTGTATTTCAAACACCCCACTGTACTTTCATGTCAGCGCGCACAGTATTTGTTTTTTGCCGAACTAAAATAATGTGCAGCTGTGTTGCAAATGCCACACGCACTGTGTATTTAGTAGCTTGGATACGGCGTGTACACGTTTGTCTGTGGGTACGAAAAGGTCCCATTTTAACTTTTTTGTGTGAACGTTTCCAGACTTTTCTTCACGACGCAGAGTACTGTACACCTGCAGTGGCTTTCGGTGTTTCGAGTACGCTCTCATTACAGTCCTCTTCCAAGGCCTCTGGCCAGCATGGAAGAGTAGGCCAAAAGTCGCTTTAGAAGAGTGGCTCTCCAGAGTACCGCTCTCATTGCTTTCATGGCTTTATTTTGGTGATTTCGAAAAGTGTATTGGTTTAGCCATGTTTGTTTGTTGTAGTACAGAGTTAGACTGATGGCCTTAATCTAAGTTGTCTTGTGGTTGTTGTTGGTTGTTTGACTTGCATCCTACTGGGATTTTTGCACACAGCGTTGGTGTACGGTGATTTTTTTCTGCAATATTTTGCTGTCTTTTCTTGGATTTTTTGTTTGGACTTCGTCACATATTCACTTTAAAGATGTTTTTTGTTCATGTTTTTGTTTTTTGTTTGTTGCGGTTGCACCCGATTCAAGAGCCAAATGGCTCACAGGGCTATACCTAATAAATGAACTTGAAGGTCCCTCCGTCAGCAATGGCAACGAGCAAGCACCCTTTGCCTTATCACTGCACACGTTGCATATGTCAAGGTTGGCAATTATTAACAGCGGTGCAGTGGTTCGTGGCCTGAGTTTGATACCCGTTCACGGCTAACATCAGTGGCCTGGGCTCCAACCATTCAGAATCTCGCACTGACCGGCGCGGGTGAAATATGGTCAAACAACCTCCCACGTTTGAGACAGCATGGGGAAGCCCTCCATCCAGCAGTGGATTAACAAATTGATGTGAGTTTAAGTCAACCGAAACAAACAACACGACAGTGCTCGTGCCAGCTCACAAACGCAAATTAAATGGAATTCTTTCAAGCCCTTTGCATCTCACAGGGACAAGCAACACGGCCCGAAGACCTGGAGAAGTGTCGCGTCACTGCTGATGACGTCCTGCAGGTGGAAGCTGGGCAACACGGCTGCATCCACTTCACGTGGATGGACTTGCAGCACAACGCGATGGTCCTCAAACGCGGCCTCCGGGACGGGCGACTGCATCCTCGCGTGTGCGAGGTGAGGAGGGAGCCACTCGCCTCGATAGAGTCGAGCACAGTCAAAGTGCTTCCCTGATCAAATTCGTATTTGAGGAAGCGCTCACCCGCCGTTTACAGCCCTGAGCTTGCGATGGGATTTCCGCATTGCTCTGGCAAGAGCAGAGCTTTCCACAGGACAACAAGTTTTGCCTTCCCCGACAAAGTGGTACTCGTTTTATCGACCCAGTGCGGTGATAGGTGAAACCAAAATGTGTTCTTTAATTACCAGGCCACGCCATGCAGGAAGATGCTTGCGCTGTCAATGGGCTCCTAAGTGGAAGAAAAAGAAAACTGATGACATTAAACGTAACCTGCTAATATAAACAAGCAGAGCTCCATTCCGTGTCCAAATACATCTATGCTTTAAACAATCACCCTCTTCAGTCCGATGTTATCAAGTCGTATTTGTTTACAAAAGGAAACTCTGCACTGGCTTCGACCTTCGAGGTCCTGCCATTCGAAGTCAGGCTTGCTGTTGGATTCCAGATGTCATTGGCAAGGATACTCCACATAAACCATGAATGCTCAGTGAATGCCAAAGGCGATGCAGTACATAAACTCGTGCATTGCTGAATTCATTTTTAAAAAATGTATATGTGGAGACAAAACAGTTTCCTTGTATAATTGCTTTTACCTAAAATGTTCCACTCCGAATGATAAACCGTCTGCAGCAGCAACTTTTAAAAGGCATCTCAAGGTAGCTTGCAAATGACAATGCAAAGTGCCCATGTAATGACAAACCACACTGTTTTTTATTTTTATGAACGGCATACGGGGTTACATATTTATGTCATTACTAGCCAAGCATAAACATATAGGGGCAGTGGTGGTGCAGTGAGTTTGATATCCGGCCACAACTATCATCAGTGGTGGGTGATACTGGTAGGAACCTCCTGGTTACAGCAGCCCACAGAGGATTATTGTGTCCGTCGTGCAGGGAGGGGCTGGGTGGGGAGGGGCTGGGTGGGGAGGGTGGGGAGGGTGGGGAGGGGCTGGGTGGGGAGGGTGGGGAGGGGGTGGGAGGGGTGGGGCTGGGTGGGGAGGGGCTGGTCAACCTACTCACGCCGGCTTGTGCCCGCCCTCACAGTCGGGCATATTTGCGGAATACACCACGCCGCCGTTGACCCTGGCCATTGACCGAGTAACCCAACGTTCCTACCAGCTCCCTCCGCAGGAATGTGTTATCACATCCAGTCCTGGGATCCAAGCTGCACTGACCAGCGTGGTGATGTATGGTTAAACGGGCCCCAAGACCGACACGGAATGATGAAGACATTATCCAGCAGTAGATTAACAAAGTATAGATATCTTATTTACAAATTTTTTTTATAATTTTCACACTGGAATAGCGTACTCTGATCGTGGTGGATTTTGTATAACTTAAGTTTAGTTTCTTGCACCTAACCGGGACGAGGCGACGACAAGGGCGGGCGCGTTTCCTTAATTCCACGCAGATTGTGGAAAATAAACAACGGTGGTGAGTGCATGGGATTGTGTGCGTCCGATAAGCAGGTGAAGGTGGTTCTAACATAGCCCTAATTAACCTTTGGATGACATTACAAGCGCTGATAGTGTTTCCAACAACAGTTGAGCCCCTGGTCAAATATAACCCTGGAATTCTTGCAAATCATTTAAATAACACTTATGGATATATATGTACCGAATGGGATGGCGTTGACCGAAAATGTTTTTTGAAGTAATACAATCTGCGTCATTAATAGCAGGTGCCAATTAACGGCACCTTAGCAAGCCTCCGACAATGTACTTCGTGTGTTTTTGTAGCACTGCCAGTGGTCGTCTTGTGCACTGATAGAGTAGCCTATTACATAGAGGTAATTGCGCCCTTTGTGATAAGAGTAACCTCCTGCTGAGCAAATTTTCAACTTGCGTTTTCCAGCTCCGTTAAAAGGGGAGGGACCCGCGGATGCAAGGGGCACGGCTTTAGGCAACTGACCCCGTTCCCTCTTTGCAACTCTAACGTGAAGCTGAGCGACCAATTGCCGCGCGCTACGAAATTAGGATTGTTTGAGTTCACGTAAGAAGTGCGTACTCCCACCTCTTCCAATATGTCTGGCCGGTGTGAAAGAGTGGGGAAAATACCGTCCAGAGGGACTCTCTAGAGCTCCCTTAGTGGAGGCCCTTCCGCCAGCAGTAGCGTGAACGAGCAATTGCAGGGCTGCACCTGGTCCAACACCAATGGAGACTAGGCTCTAAAGAAAGCTGTCTCGGATGTGAACCAATCAACTTCACGGTCAGTGCATATCATTATCATCATCAGAGTTGTTTCTTTTTGTTTGCATTTTGACTTCTTGTGTTGAGGTTATTGCAAACATGATACCTTGTATAAAGGTGTCAGATTTTGTACCAGTTACAAGGGTAAAAACCTATTACTACTGCACCTTTACATTTTAAGCAGAGAAGCACTCACGTATCTTGTTGTGAAACAGGAAAAAAACCATAATCCTGTTAGGTATTTATTTGTACAGGGGTTGTTGATGCTGTTGTGCAAATGATTGCGAAGGTGCTTGTGAATGCCATGGAGCAGTACACCAAGCTACAGAGAGAGAGGCTGGCCTGCCTCGTTCACAAGTACCGTGTCCAAGTCCAAAACAAGCGTATGGAACAGAATCTGCGATCATGGGGAGAGACAAGTTTCATTGTCTCGAGGGTCCGAAACAACTTGTATAACCACCGAAAGGAGGTGAGCTTGCAGTTGAATACAGTTTCACGTTTCATCAAAAGGCCCATTAGATATTTGTGGGTTAAAAGGAATGTCAGAAGTAGTTCTGTGATAACTGATTCCGTGGACCATTCTCTAACACTTTGGGTTGGTTGCACTGTTCATGGAGCAGGCAGCTAAGATTAAATACAATTCTTCATTTGCCAGAGTGTAGTCCACGAAAAGAGTATACAAGTTTGAACATGTGTAGTGTGCCATTGGAACCTCCTTTGTCAGTAGCAAAATATGATCATTGGTGTTTTACCCTTTCATCTGGCAACAAAACTGACACCTTTTTTTTTTACAAAGAGTCATGTTTGCATTGACCACAATACCTGCGCCTTTTGGCGTCATCTGGTCCAACCCATGTGAGACTAGGCTCTAAGAAAAGCTGTCTCGGGTGTGGACCAATACATTTCAAGGACAGTGCATACATTGTCAGAGTTGTGTTTTTTGTTTGCATTCCGACCGCAGATATTGTGGTCTATGCAAACATGACTCCTTGTAAAAAAAAAAGGTATCAGTTTTGTTGCCAGATAAAAGGGTAAAAAACAATTATCCTGTGTAGTGTGCTCACATTTCGCAAATGCCAATTGTGCACAACATCAGTCAATGTTCACGCAGTACGTACAAATATATATATATTTTTTAAATCTTCACTTTTAAATTCGAACAATTCCTGATGCTTTAAAAAAAAAAATTTATTGTAACGTATTTTGCTACATTTTATTTATTGGCTTCATGTCACGAAAATCCAGTTGGAACTCTCGCAGTGTGCTAGAGAATGGCTTCGTGGAACTGTATATCATGGAGCTACTTCTGAGATTCCTTCAAGTTACTTTTTTATCCACCCACTAGGGGGAGAGGGGCACTTTCCCACACACCCTGCTACAGAGAAATGTTCTTTGCAAGGGCAGTCAACCAGACAATCTTTTCATTCTCCCAGCTGGAATTTAACCGTATTAAGTGCAAACCAATATTCTATGTAATGGATGCTTGCTGTGCAATCATTGGTGACTGGACTGAGACCGACAATACACTACACTTGAGAAACCAATTGATTCATGGGTGGCTGCCCGTGCACAAATCCAGAATCTGAGCAATGCAGCTCAGTGCTCTGACCACTGAGCTACCTGGCTACACTGATATAATTCCGTGCATTAAGGTGGTGTTTGTGAATGGTGATGCTGATTATTTTGCTGGACATTCTATTCACTTGCAACAGTGTTAAACAAATAGTATAGCAAAACGGTGGAGTGATGGCCCGGTGATTAGTCAACCGTACTGTGTTCCCAGTAACCTGTATGTCTAGGACCCCCCACCCCACCCGAGCCTCTGGTTACCCTCTATGACTCAAACGTTGTTGTTACATTTTTCTCTTCTTGGTTCTTTAGATAAAGTCACGTAGAAGGGAAATAATATAATAATAATAAAACATCATAAAATAATTCTCACGACGTTTCGGCCACAACGCAAGCAGCCGTCCTCAGGTGAAGAACAGGGCTGTCGGAAAGACAGCGTCTGAATGAAACACTACCAAGCTTGGCAGCGTATATTTAAGCTGGGTTGGAGGGGGGAAGAGCGCCTTGACAAAATAATTTTTATATCAAGAGGATTTTAGCATATTTATGGGAAATGCAGATATGGGATTAGTCACTACTTGTGGAATGCGTAGGAGGTGGGCGGGGGGTTTCAAAGTCATGATATGCCCGTGCGTTATGCAGGATGTTGTTCTTGCAGTGGACCTCGATTTGGAGCCGGAGGCTGAAGATTCTCGGGGCGGAGCGGCAGCGGACCGCCGGCTTCCTCACGGCGTGCATGAGCGTTGTCGAGACGCATTGCGGCCTCTTCTTGCGGAAGCCTCTCCTTGCCTCGCCAGACAGGTGTCCCGGCGCAGCGGCTATGTGCTCACCTCACGAGTCTTCCCTGCAGTTTTACAAAACATCAGAGTGCTTATTCCAAAATGGGAAGAAAAAAATATCCTGACATTTTTTTTCCCCCCTCCCCCCTCCCCCAATTTCATATTTTTCCTCCTTGTAGGTCACTACGTTTCAAACCAGGAAAAGAATACCGAACACATCTGGTTTCGCGTACACGTGCTCCTCTGATGTGCCAGCATAATAAACCTGCAACAGATGGATACACAAGCGAGGTAATATTGCCTTTCAAAAACGTAATTGCAATAACGTTGACATTAAAAGTCCACATTTGCTTACGCAGTACGGTATTTGTTAACGGCGCAATGATGGCCGTCATGCTGCCACGTGTTTACCTCACACGGCACACCGCAATGGCAGCGTCGACAGTCGTTGCGAAGTTACAGCTGTTTTTGTTTGTTTTGTCCTCACAAGTCGAATACTAAAGACGCGCAAAGGTCAAAATCCATCAACGTAACGGGCAGCTCTGCGTGCCAAGCCATGGACTCCAGAGACTGGTGGCCATCACGTGCTCCGGTGCCTCCTGATTTTGCCGGTGACGAGGAACGTCCGGCACCAACCACGTGCGTGGATTTGCCGAGAATCCAACAGATGGACCTGTGCCGCGTCGTCATTGGCCACCAAAATGTCAGGTAAACATTGTTTGGTGTCACGTTACTTGAAAATAAATAAATCCACAAAGTTACAGGGTTTTTTGTTGTTCAATGCAGTAGATGTGTTCATTATCAGTAGCTCTACTTAATGCCACTGCTATATGAAAAAACATCCCCAGTTATCGCCATCTCTGATGTTGTCATGTAATAATCCACCAATCACGAGCGGATTTCATAGATCCACACACTTTATTAACAAAAGACACAAACTGTATTGCAGTTCCAGGTTGCCTGACATCAACAAGCCTACGGAGAGGAGACCACGAGTATTGTCACACGCCGTTTACCTGAGATCTTACTTTCCTGTGATGAGTTCGACTGCAGGCCAGCAATAGTCCTCAACGTTCAGGTTCGTTCGTTCGATTCGTGTCTCAATCCGTGGCGGCTGCGTGTTGAGTCGGGTGGCCCAGACCTCCCTTTCCCTGGCGACAGACTCGAGCCCTTCCTGGAGAATTCCCAGGCGTTGTTCCCAGGCTAGCCGAGCGACGTCGTCCCGCCACCGTGTGTCCTGGGCCGGCCCCCCCCCCCCGAGGTCTTCGCATTCAAGTACTTTGCGTAAAAATTGAGCGAGAAAAATAGTGAAAAGTTACACCAAAGTGTAATAACGCGTAGGTTTTTGTGCGGTCGTGCTGTGTCGCTCGCCGTCGTGTTTTCGGGTTGCACTGAGTGATGTGAACTGCTTAATGCAGTTTCTGAAAAAGCTGTCAACACGTGGAGTGAAACGTCGGACATTGTGGCGAAACAACACGCGGTACAAGCCGAAAACACATCGGAGCGCTTTGCACCAAGGTGTGTTACATACGTTAATGCAGCTATTTGTTTTAAAACCTCTGCCTTGGGAAGCGATTATGCTCAGAATGCAGGTATTTAGCCACAAATTGAACAACGTAATTGAAAGTCACACTGAAGTGCACATTATGCATTTTTTGTACAAACTTTTCCGAATATAAAAAAAACACACACTTCAGTGTGCACATGCTCTTTTGAAATTCTCCTTTTTTAGTTCCAGCACGGAATTTTGTTTAGCCTGTGGGCAATCCAGTATTAGAGGCACAATTTGTGCTTGGCAAGAAAACAGCAGTGTCCCGTGTCTGTTCAAGAAATTATCTGGTGAGATCAATTAGCCTTGCACTTGATGCCTAGTTACAGCGGCAACAGCAGCGAGGCTATCCCCGTGCAGACTCAATAGTCAACAACTGGTGGATATTGACCAAAGCCTAATTATGTGAAGAGGTCTCCTAACTCTCCGGGCCACGCAATAAATGACCCCACTTGTTTCATTAACTGAGTAATGGGGGAGGCGGAAAAACCGGCGGGGAAACTGGACGCGGGCCCCCCCCCCTCTACCCGGTAGCGCGGCGGTGCAGGACGCGTCGTTTATCATGCGCCCGGCGAGATGGACAGGGTGCTGAGCGCGAGGCGCGGCCTCGATGCCGTACAAATCTGTTTGGGAAGCTCTCTGGGCCCACTTATCCCCAGGCAATTTCCAGCCGGCCTCATAATCCTGAAACAAATTACTGGAGGGCTCACGGGGGAGTGTCCACGGGGCGGCCCCCACGCGCCGGCCAGCCCTCCGCCGTAATCGCTTTGCGCCGTGTCCATTAATCACCGGGTAATGGCGACAGGTCCCCATTCCTCACTTTATTAATAGGAATCCCACGCGGTAACGTAACAGAGATCCCGGAATCCACTTCCCGCGCCTGTAAACTTAATGACCACAGTTTAAGCCGTCTCAAACTGTCGCCGTCCTCCTCTGAAAAGGGACTTTGTTAACGAGGAAAAAGTGATGTCTCTTCAAGCGGAACTACTTTGGGTATGGATAGGCTCCATCGTGCTAGATCGGTAAGTGTTTTCGGGTTGAGAATTATTTTCTGTCGATGATATCACAGTTTGGCGAACCACGTATTTGATCTTTTACGATGTTTTTTTTTTCTTAAATATTACATGGCGTAACTGAGATCGTTGAGAAGTAGACTGTCAGTGGGTAAAATATTAGAACATCTGGCAGTTTGTATTCAAATACCAAAAGTTAAATAGCCACTTTGTACATCAATTGCTCATGCCATTACGTTTTTTTTTATGTAGATGCACCCAGCAGCAAAGTTCTCCCTTCCATTCAAATTCCTTCACCTGCTGTCATGAAAACATCTGAATGAGGTACACTGTTGGCTCACAATAATGGACACATTTGTATAAAACGGTCTGTCTGTAAGTAGCTCCGCAATCGACTGCTGGATGAAGGCTTCTCCAAAATCCGCCTCCACACGTCACCTGCACCTTGAGCTGATTTCCTCCGATTAGCACGATTGGCTCGCGTACGGTGCGAAAGAAGTTCAACATACATACATTGTATCGCTCCGTCTCATCAGTATTAATGCATAATATTGTTGCATAATAACATTCAGACATATTTTTGAAATAAATATTTTTTTCAAGGATACATTGTTTAACTATGTTTTCCTTTACAGGACCCTGGTGCAGAAAATATGAAAAAACCTCTTGACTTCAATTGTATTTGTCTTTGAGCGATTGTACTTTTCTATAATGAATAAATACGTACATGTAGTCTGGCCTTTCTGTCAGTTCACTACTGGATCAAGGCCTTTCTGCGCCGTGTTGGTTACGGGGATTGTTTGACCATATTTCACATCGGTGATGAGTGCGGATTGGCCAAGGGGAAGCTCAAGTCTGGTTCCAGCACGATGTACCATTTGCAATACCACCCGTTTCACAATCCTAATATGAATTACACATCAAATAAATAATGCACCCCTTTCTGAATCCACTCTCCTCCCTGGCTCCTCCTCTTACCTGAAATCATATCTTGTCACAAGCAGCTCTTTTGCCCACGACAGCAATTTGTTTCTTGCTGTGGCTGTCCCACCTGATGACAGAAGCTTGTGTTGCTTCCGAAACGTCGTGATTTTCTTTATTTTATTTTGTTTTCTTTTACATTTATTTTATTTTATACCTACGTGACTTTACCGAAAGAACTAAAGAGTATGGGTCATTGCAGTCACGAAAACTTAAGATCTAGATTGAATCCACTTGTTTACCCACACGTGACCAAAACTAATTTTAACGAAACACCGCAAGGCAAAACCTTATTGGCCCTGTTCCTAAATCTCACATCATCACTGACTAACCCATTTTGGAGTCATCATTATGAGCGCCGCAGCACTGAACGTAAAATAACCCAGTAACAAAAACATTCACACTCCCATCGGCTCCTGGAAAGACTATTGGGAACATGCAGGGTGCGATGACAGTCGCCTTCCAGGAAAATCGACGATGCCACCAGTGCTCCGTGTTATGATTTGTTGGAGTACAAATTGAAGGCTGACATTCATCAGAAACACAGCGTGGAAGATTGAGAAAGGGAAGCACGCGACACGCTGTTCGCATACGACAATGGGATTGATGGTAAAGCTCGGATGGGATGTTCTGGGACATCTCGCAAACAGCCCAGACCTAACCCCCTTTGGTATTCCATCTGGACGGGCCTCTGAAAGAAGCTTCTACGTCGATGACGGCTCACCTGTGATGAGGCTGCACAAGCAGTGCTGCTTAGTGGCCAACCAGAAATCTTCCATGATGCTTGGTTTAGGAAGCTTATGGATGGCCGAAACAACTGCGTTTTAGTAGCGGGTGGCTCTTTAGATAAATATGTTGTCGTTTAATGTGGACAAATGTTTTATACTCTTGGGTTTTTTCGGTTAAGTCACGAAAAAAAAAACATAAGAGTATGAATCCTTGCAGTCACGAAAGCTTCAAATCTAGGACAAATGTTTTCTCAAACGACTCTTGACATGTTTCTTTACTTCATGGAATACCCTTGGAAATCTATTTATTTAACACGGTTGCTTAGCACAGGGGCCAAAGACTGAAAGTGCCAAGCAGCCAGTAGCAGAACGGTTAAATGTATAACAGATTAATTTCTTAAATTATGCAATCGAGCACGCTTATGAGAACTTATGAGTCAGATGTGCTTCGTGTGGACACGCATTTCTAACTGTTTAATGCAAACAAGATGAGCATGTTAAAACTGCAGCGCTTCACAATCTTCACGTTGGATATACTGCAGATGCCACAACTGCAGTCTTTTGTCTTGAGGCCAAATTCATTTGCTACAGTGAAGAGCAAACGAGGCAACTGCTAGAATGTACAGTAGACGGATGTAAGCAACGTGTGCTTATACCAGAAGTTGCCCTTTGCCTTCTCCCCATATCCATACACATGTTGCTTATATCCAGACTCCACTGTACTGCGAGAGTCTAACACTACAGCGGGCAATTGGACATTTTGGATGAAGTGGCCCATTAATCAGCTGTGGTAAAAAAAACGGTTAATTCCATTACAAGGGCAGACCTGGTACCTGACCAGTACTGACCAGGTCAATCCACACAAGCTGGAGCACGTGCATGGACAGCTAGAGGCTCCATCATGGGACCTCCTTTGCCAGTACCAAAATATGAGAATAGGCTTTCCCCTTTTTTCTGGCAACAAAACAGGCGTTAAGATGTTAAAACACCAAACTGAAACCTTTTACAAGGAATCATGTCTGCATTAACCACAGTGCTTGTGGTCAAAATGCAAAAAAAAGCTGTCTGGTGTGGACCAATCAGTTTCAAAGACAATGCATATATTATCAGATTATGTTTTTTGTTTGCATTCTGACCACAAGCATTGTGGTTAATGCAGACATGATTCCTTGTAAAAGGTTTCAGTTTGGTGTTTTAACATCTTAACACCTGTTTTGTTGCCAGAAAAAAGGGGAAAACCTATTCTCAGCTAGAGGCTCATCAAGACAATTCTCTCCCCGTGTCTACACAAACCAAAGGTCCACACCAGCTGTCACATTCTTATAATCTCATCCAGGTCTGGGGCACAAAAACCGCTGGTGAACACAGTGGAACAACGCGCATGTGCAGAATAAACACCTCATTCGAGGCCCGAACATCGCGGTGGCGAGATGTTAACTACCTCGAATGGTATACAAGAGGTTGTGGGTTTCATGCCGACCCTGACGCCTGTATATTTGGAGTTTGCGTGTTCTCCCCATGGTCCCATGGATTTTTCTCCGGGTCCTCCGGTTTTCCCCTCTACAAATAGAAACGTGCGTTTAAAATATTTGGCTGCTATACATTTCCACATGATAAGTCACTTCGTTGAGCTATCGCTTGTGGTCAGGTCGCTTCTCAAAAATAGCGATATAGCTCAGTGGTCCCTACCTGGTAAAATAAAAATAGTTCATAGTTCATACCGCACCTCCCGGCTTTGACATTCCTCGAAGACACTGGGGGAACCATCAACCGCATCAGATCATCGACAGGCCGATGGGCACATCTCCTTTGTTCATGGTAAGTTCAAGATACACAAGCCACAGCAGTGCAACTCTGGCCTTGCAAACCAAACTGTGGACGGACCATATCGCGAACCACTGTAGTCAGCGCTCCATCGACAGAGGAGTAACAAGAACTCCCTCTAGAAGCCCTCATGACTAACGGACATCAACATTTGCATTGCCATTGCATAGCTCAAGACCGAGGCAATTTCACAAGGCTCCGTTGTAAATCGGAGGCGAGAAGGGATGTATCATCACCATGGCAGTGGCTTGGAAATTGCACCTCGCACAAGTGTAATGCCAGTAGAGTCAGCCTGCAGTGCCAATGGACTGGCGGCTACGGGAATGATCGAGAATAGGATCGTGGCCAGGTGACAGCTGGTAGAGCGAGCAGTCTAGAACCAGCGAGAAGGTTCGGGAATGGGGGCGTGGCCTCGGATTGTATATAAAAGGGAGATGCGTGGGAGACTCGGGGCTGTTGCGGTGGGGGTCTCCGCCCGTCCGAGTGTGAGCACGTGGCTCCTTAATAAAGAAAACCTTCCCAGGACAAGTGCGTCGAAGTCGTCTTTACGCAGGTGTAAAATAGGCCATGATGCACTCATGGAATTTAGAAGCAGAACTGGACCGGGCACTGCACATTGGTAGCAGCAGCGAACATGAATGATTGGTTTTTTACCCTTTTATCTGGCAACAAAACTGACACCTTTTTTACAACTCTATCAGAGTTATGTTTTTGTTTGCATTATGACTGCAGGTATTGTGGTCTATGCAAACATGACTCCTTGTAAAAAAGGTGTCAGTTTTGTTGCCAGATAAAAGGGTAAAAAAAACTATTTTCATATTTTTTACTGGCAAATGAGGTTCCAATGGAGCGAACATGAACTTTAAATATCTCGATACATCGATTACAATCGATTCTCAGGATACATGCATCAAATTGTGTGGATAAAAATTCATCTGTTTCAAAACATTTGCATGTAGCGTTTCCGAACTGTACAGCTTATGTCCACTTATGTGGCTGCACATTAATTTGTTTAAAGATAGTTGTTTGAGAATGAACCCGGGTGTAGGTATGCACTAGGGCTGAACGATTTGGGGAATATCTAATTGCGATTTTTCTGACAGATAATGCGATTTGCGATTACAATTTTTAAAGTCAAGCTTCAGTTCAAAATTGACTGTGTAATAGATTTAAAACATGTGATGGAGCATTACCACATGATCCCATCAAAATATGAACTGCTCTATATATTCTAATGCAAGAATGAGAACTTAAAAGTTATGAATTGCTTCCAACATGTATTTACTAAAATGTTTAATTGACATAGAACAATCAAACATAGAACAATTGTTAAGTTAAATAAATAAAGTTATAATACTAAAAAATAAAAATTCCAATAAGAAAGTAACAGGACTTCTCAAATCGCAAAGAATCGCAGCCTTTGCGATTTGCTAAACGCATTGTTTCAAATTGCGATTTCGATTTGAAATCGATTAATCGATTTCGATTTGAAATCGATTAATCGTTCAGCCCAAGCATGCACACAACGATGGACGTGGGAGTCGTATCCCGTTATACTCTTGAACTCCAACTCGAAACCTGTGGGCAAGAAGCGTGGTGCTTATGTAATATGAAGATACAACATTTCTCTTAATAACATTGAACAGCATTATGAACGCCTTTTGCATATGAACTCTTCAAAAATATAACCCACATCATGACCATTCTCGCGAATTAGATACACTCTTTAACATTAAGTATTCGTGTATCCATCAGCTAACAATTTGAATCAGATACAGTACTGTATAGAAGCACTAGCTGTACTACCCGGCTTCGCCCGGGACTTGTATCCACCACGGCCGGCAGCCTTTGTCTCCCCAGTGGCGATGTTAATACGCCACACCAGTTACTCGTTTTGCGGCTGAGTCCCTCCCTCACCACTCTCCCTCCCTCACCACTCACGCACGGCCGCCTTTGTCTCCCCAGTGGCGATGTTAATACGCCACACCAGTTACTCGTTTTGCGGCTGAGTCCCTCCCTCACCACTCTCCCTCCCTCACCACTGTCCCTCCCTCACCACTCTCCCTCCCTCACCACTCTCCCTCCCTCACCACTCACGCACGGCCGCCTTTGTCTCCCCAGTGGCGATGTTAATACGCCACACCAGTTACTCGTTTGAGGCTGAGTCGACCTAGGGGAGGTTCAAATAATCGTCACCGGTGGTGGCCGTGAGCGGGAATGGAACTCGGTTCGCCGGGTTTGTAGCGCAGCGTAGCGTTAACCACTACACCCACCGCTCCTCACACACCACACACGCACAGACACACACACAGACACACACACAGACACACGCAGACACACACAGACAGACACACACACACAGACACACAGACAGCACGCTAACCACTACACTACCGCTCCCCACACACCACACACGCACACACACAGACACACACACACAGACACACACACACAGACACAGACAGCACGCTAAGCACTACACTACCGTTCCCCCTACACAACACACGCGCGCGCGTCCATAGGTACACATACACGCGCTTGCTGCAGACACACACGACTGTCAGGGTGCGTACGGCAGTAAACGACTGAAAAAAGAAAGCGGCAATGCTGCGCGAGGAACGCCTTAGACCTGCAACACATTTGTGTAATGCGAGCGTAAACACACAAACACATACAAACACATACACACACATACATACACACACATACACACAAACACATACACACACATACATACACACATACATACACAGAGACAAACACATACACACAAACACACACATACATACATACACACAAACACATACACAATACACACACACATACATGCAGACACACAGACACACACATAACACACATACGTACACACGCATACATACACAGAAACACATACACACATACATACACACACATACATGCACACAAACACATGCACACACGTACATACACACATACATACAGACACGCAGACATACACATAAAGACATACAAAAAAACCGACATACATACACACACACATACACACAAACACATACACACACATACATACACACATACATAGAGACACACAGACATACACATAAACACATACACACATACACATGACCCGGCTTCGCCCGGGACTTGGATCCACGATGGCCGGCCGCCTTTGTCTCCCCAGTGACGATGTTCACACACGACAGCAGTTACGCGTTTGAGGCTGAGTCGACCTAGGGGAGGCCCAGGTCCGTTTCAAATAATCGTCAGCGGTGGTGGGCGTGAGTTGGAATGGAACTGGGGTCGCTCAACCAGCTTAATGACTATTTGTACAAAGAACATATAAAGAATCGATTATAATAACCAGGCTACAGTCCACATTATAGACTGGCAGTACACGCACTCAGCTTCATAAGCAGGCTAGAGTGTACATGATAGAGTGGCAGTACGCTCACCGAGTTTAATAAGCAGGCTACAGTCTACATGATAGACTGGCAGTACGCTGACCCAGCTTAATGACTATTTGTACAGTGAACATTTAAGTAATCGATTGTTGGCGCGTTGGGTTTAAAAGTAATATACATTGCACACATTGTGGTGGGGGTGGAGTGAAGAGTAGGAAAAACTTTGATGAATTTACCTCAGAGTGGCGTGGTGGGTGTCGAGGCCTAGTAGCGTGCAGAGCCTGCGGCCTCGCCAAAATTGTCCAGCCGGCAAAGGCAGGGTACGGGTGGCGTGCCTTCCCCCCCCCCTCAGCGCTCCAACAATACTGTGTAATGGCTATTATTTAATTATTTACGGAGCCTATGAAAGTGGCGAAGGCGTGGCTAGCCGTTAGCAGGGGCAACCGCCGTCCAATGAAACTGCAGCCCTTGGCGAAGGCGTCGCTAGCCGTTGCCAGGTCCAATGAAAGCGGCGAAGGCGTCGCTAGCCGTTGCCAGGGGCAACCGCCGTCCAATGAAAGTGCGTATGGTCCGAAATCCACACACAGACAGACAGACATGCACGATTTTATATATATAGATGCATCATACAGCAAACATTCTAAAGGCAGCAGACATCGTGCTGCCCGCAGCAGACATCACCGCTGTCGCGATATTCACCTGAAGACGGGCGCTTGTGTTGCGTTCGAAACGTCGTGATTTATTGTATGTTATTTCTACCTACGTGACTTTACCGAAAGAACCAAAGAGTTTGCTAAAGTAGCATGTGCTATGCCTGTATTGTTATTGACCCATTAATAATTATTCAAGTTAAAACAAGTCACTTTTAACACAATGAACATTTCCTACATACAGCACTGTCATATATCTGGTGTAAGTTCTTAATATTTGTACTTTATACTGTCACTGTATATTTATTAAACCATTATAATGCTTAATAATAGTTCCCAGTCTTAACGGAGCATTATTATCGCATAGGCAACCACGTACACTATGACATAAGTAACATATGCAACAATTAAAAATTTCAAAACTAGTTCGCGGGTATGGGCTTATCTCTTCACAATAACAGTATTCCACACTCTGTAACTGTGAAACCACTGTAAGCCACTTGAACAATTTACAGAAATAACGGCGCATTATTTATTTAACACACATTAACGATGATTTTACAGCATTTTTAACTTTCATGTGTTTTGATCATAACGTGCCTTATGAATAATCCAAGCTCCCTATCTATGTTACTCTGATTACTGAACTATACACATTCATCTTCTTGGTTCTTTCGGTAAAGTCACGTAGAAGGGAAGTAATAAAATAATACAAAATAAAACATAATAAAATACAATTGTATGTTACTTAAATACAATTGTATTTTATTATGTTTTATTTTAGTATGTTACTTAAATAAAATTTATTTTATTTACAGAAAGAACCAAGAAGATGAATCCCTGCAGTCACGAAAGCTTTAAATCGAAATATACACATTAAATAAAGCCATAATGCGATGAACAAATGTATTACATCACAGCCATGAAATTGGGCTCGTGGCCTTCTCAGACATACGATACATTCTTAACCACCTAACCAACCCCGTAACAGACTACACTATACAGTCAAACCTTGGATTGCGAGCATAATTCGTTCCGGAAACGTGCTTGTAATCCAAAACACTCGTATATCAAAGCACTCGTATATCAGTTGTGATCACGTGACGCTCGGCAGACAAAGCGTATACACGTACTACTCGTATTGCAAGATCTCTCTCGTTTATCAAATGAATATTTATTTTAAAATTTTTGCTCGTCTTGCAAAACACTCGCAGACCAAGTTACTCGCAATCCAAGGTTTTACTGTAACCTCATCCCACTGCACCATTGGAACCTCATTTGCCAGTAAAAAATATGATAATTGGTTATTTACCCTTCTATGTGGCAACAAAAACTGACACCTTTTTTACAAGGAGTCATGTTTGCATAGACCACAATACCTGCAGTCATAATGCAAACAAAAAACATAACTCTGACAGTGCATACATTAACAGAGTTATGTTTTTTGTTTGCATTATGACTGCAGGTATTGTGGTCTATGCAAACATGACTCCTTGTAAAAAAAGGTGTCAGTTTGGTTGCCAGATAGAAGGGTAAAACCCCAATTATCTCATCCCACTGATTTCTACAATCGTAGCTGTAGCTAACGCACACTGCCAGTGGCTTAATTTGCCAATTAAACATTTGGCGCTCCATCAACCGCTTTAGAACAACAACTTGTCGCTGCGCACACCTCCCTCCACACGTCGAGAGTTGAAGACAACCCACGGTATACTCTTTGGTTCTTTCGGTAAAGTCACGTAGGTAGAAAAAATAAAACAAAATATAAATAAAATATCACGACGTTTCGATCGCAACACAAGCGGTCGTCCTCGGGCGGAAAAAAAATAATCCAGCAGTGGGATGCAATCTAATTTCCCCTCTCCAGAAATATAGAGCACTCGGCTGACGTTTCGGTTAATGACCCTGCTGGATGATTGTTTTCCGCCCGATGACGACCGCTTGTGTTGCGATCGAAACGTCGTGATATACTGTATTATTTTGTTTTATTTTTTCTACCTACGTGACTTTACCGAAAGAACCAAAGGGTATGGATTCCCGCAGTCACGAAAGCTTCAAATCAAGATACAACCCACAGTGTGACTGCGCCCACGCGGACCGGACGATTGAACCCGTATCGCGAACGACGGCACCCTCCGCCCTCTCTGGCGAAGTGAGCAGCATTAGTCGCGGATACTCCCGAAGCTATCGGCATGGCTCACGGACGCCAACTCGGACGTGTGATTTGCACAGACTTGCCATGATTTTGACGGCTCGCAATCATTACGGGTTCAAGTGAGATCAGAGGGGAAGATTGTCGGACACTCGTGAGTCCTGACCAACAATTTTGGCGAGAGATACAATTACCGTAATTACACCCTAATCCCAATTTATCATTGAGGTCGGGGGAGGATTTTATCAGACCCCTACTTGACACTCTGCGCCACAAATTAACCTCATGGCGGTACCCCGGGGTTCCATAGTACCCCGGCTCTCGCATGATGTCCGTGATGCAGTCATTTTTAGTCTGTTGGTGGTCGGCGATGCGGCCATCGACTCATCTCGACGAGCTGTACACGATGCACTACTACGGTGCGTACCGCGAGCGTTCAGGGTTTCAGCGCAATCGTCCTCGCTGAGTTTTGACATCGCGGAGTGTGGCACTGATGTCGGATTGATTGGTACCCCAGTCGCGGAGTTAAGTACACCCCTGGAAAAAATAGTGTCCCAGAAATAAAATATTTAATTGCCTCGGCTCATTTTGTATTATTTGGTACCCCAGGGTACCGCCATAAGCATCAAATGTCCTGTCATTTGTTTATGTCAACGTCGCAGGCCACAAGTGTCTCTCCTACGTTCACCACCGAATAGTCATAGAGCGACCTTGACAAACGGTGACGAACGATTGCATCGCAAAAGGGGGAAAAATGATTCCACGACTACAAATGACGTTTGACGATCCATGGAGGAAAAATCGATCCGAAATCACCCGTCGCTCGGCGCAGCTGAGTGAAATTGTGGTCGGCAAGAGCCGCCACTTTGTATGGCGCAGTTTTATTCCTGATGCAGCTGCCTGGCCACTTGACGTCGGAAGTGTTGAACAAATGCCATTATCTGAGCTGCGTTAAGGCACCACTGAGAACCTGGGTCTGAATCCGAGTTTAAGCCGACCAAGATGTAGTGATTTGATGTTCTCCACCTGGTTTCAAATTATTTAACATTCAGGAATACTTCTAGATTTGAAGCTTTCGTGACTGCAAGGATTCATACTCTTAGGTTTTTTGGTAAAGTCACGTAGGTAAAAAATAAAAAATAATATAAATAATAATATAAATAAAATAATAAATCACGACGTTTCGGAGGCAACACAAGTCTCCGTCATCAGGTGGGACCGTCACAGCTAGATTTACTATCTCTTATTTTATTTCTATTATTATTTTTTATTTTTTACCTACGTGACTTTACCGAAAAACCTAAGAGTATTCAGGAATACCTTGCACTGTCTTCTGGTTATCGGCCATCCATTTAGTCCGTACGCATGGAGGGAGGTGGGGGGTAACCCAAATGCGTACGCTTGCGTACGGGAGAGTCTACTGACAATGTGCGTACACATAGGAAACGGGGGGGGGGGGCAGTGGTGAAGCCTCGATAATAATTTGTCTACGTTGGCCTTCAAATGAGCCACAGTTCAGTTTCTTCAGCTGTCAAACAACAAATACTACCGGGAGAAGTGGGACTGTGGGAGAGGTGTCACTTGTGTGCCACCGTGCCCCCCTGACTGCGAGCTAGCACGCAGCTCAGCAACATAAGTGGCCAAGGTAAGCGACTGGATTCTTTAACGCAGTCTGTCTGCTGAAACACGTGAATAGTATTAATCCTTGATCGTTTCTTGCGTGGATTAAATATCGGCCGTTCTATAGGAATTCGGGGGGGGGGGGGGTGGTGTAAAAAGTCTGCGTGCGTACAGAGAGGGGGGGAGGGGTCAAGTTACGACAGATTTTTGCGTACCTACTCAATGGATGGCCCCTTAGGGAGCAGAGCGTGGAAGAATGTAAAAAATGGACGAATGTCAAAGCAGAGCCTTTAATTAGCTTGCAAATTTATTTTGGCCGGCGAAAAACGTGCATGCAAATAACTACAGTGAATATAAAAACGTACATGCAATTAACTACAGTAACTATAAAACACATGCGTGCGAAACCTAAATAAATAGAAATAAAAGAAAAATAAACATGATAATCATTAAACAAAACTAAATAAATAAGCAAAACTAAATTAACAAAATTATACCTTTAAATATTTTTATTCTTGCGTAAGTAAACACTGTAGTATTATACTACTATCACAAAAATAACCATGAACTGTTTACTGTATAATCACAGAAATAGGTACAGTATTAATCATACATGAATAAACACCAATATAAGAGATGCTCACTGAACGACTTCCATTCAAAGACTGAACGAAAAAGACGGCGCGTGGCGCGAACGTCGTGGAAGGTTTGGGGATGAAATCGGACGAAAGAGGAAAGCCACGTGGACGACATTTGAAATGTGGTTATAGTTGAAAACAGCCGAAAGAGCGAAGCGTCGAAAGTTAAGTGGACGAAATTCAAGGTATCGCTGTAAGTATTTAGTAAACCCATCGCATTAAAACAGAGTTTTCACTTCATCTGATCCTGACGCTAAAATATCTGTATCGGTTTGACTGCAGCATGACAAAAAATGTCTCTATTGGGAAAGGCAGCTTTACCCTTCTGCGTGGATAAAAGAGGGCACTTGAAGGATGTCTCGGACGTAGTTGAAAGCTGCTTCTGTGGGCCAATCTCTCACGCCCGGGTGATGACCCACGGTCATTTCTTCGTTTCATGGCTTTGACTGTACCGCACTGCAGGGGGCAGCACTTTGCCCACCCATTCGGCTACGGAGAGCAATGTCCGTGGCATGCCAGTCAAAGTAATATTTGCAATCATCAGGGTGCGAATTGAGCAAAATTACGCGCGGAAATAATGTGGATGGGATGGGCATTTGTGTGTGTGTTTGTGCAGTAATTGGCTCCTGGGACAAGACCATTAACTCTCTACACTTGAGAGGCCAGGATTTGAAGCTGTGGATCTCAGCAGTCTCAGATGAGTGCTCCGACCTCTGCACAATTCGGCTACCTCACAAGTTGGGTATTAAGAGTGAGATGCAACCGAAACCACAAAAAGCAATCTTTTTTTTAAACACGCCTTGCCCGTTCAGCGGTGATGTCAGACGAAAGTTGAAAGCTTGAAGCTGCTCCACTTATAGGCAATGATGTCACTATGAATGTCACTGCCGTATATCACAGGACGGTGCATTAATGTTGAGACGTCACGAGAGTCCTATTCTTCAGCGCCTGATGGCAGTGTTTGATTGCAATTTCATTGCAAAGCGTGCCCCTGCTTGTTGTCGTGTTCGTGTTGCGGTATTCTCTTCGTAGAGTTAACATTCCACCTGCAGTCAGTCACGTGTCCGTGCGAGTGTTATTTTGGAGCGATGATGAAGTCAGCTCGTGGGCAGGTGGCTGGTTGGATTGTCGCATCGCAGGAACAGCGATAGGGTGGCGGTGATAGATTGGTTGAGGGTGGGATCAGCTGCTCATTCATACAGCAGTAGATTGACCATGGCTGATGATGACAACGACGACGACCAATCAACGGCAATTGCAGGGAAACCAAAAAAAGGACAATCGCAGCAATTTGACAATTCCCCGCGAGCATTCGACGAAGCACGGTTGAAATGTTTTGAAAAAGTTTGCGAGCTGAGCAGCTTTTTTTCTTCTTTTGTAAGTGCTGCCTTGCAGTGTTTAATCGAACTGCCTCTGACTGCAGATTTGTCATTTGATTGCAGTTGCGGCACCGGGCCCTTCAACGCGCCGGCCCTGAGCGCGGCCCGAGCCACCAAACAACACTCCACGTGGCGGCCAGGGCTACCGACACCGTCAACAAGATGACGATCAAGATGAATGAGTCGCACTCGGCCGGGTAGCCGCCTGATGGCAGTGTTTAATGGGCCTTATTAATGGTTCCCTAATCAGGACAAACAACACTGTCGGCTTCACTTTACCTCCCTACGGGTATGTAACCTACTCCTGGTGCACTGCCTACTTAAGGTAACCTACCCTGGTGGCCTTTGTTTAAAGGGCTGTAATGCATCTGCGCGTCGGTTTCGGCGTTTAAGGTGGGTTTTGCGGCCGGAGTCAGATTAGTTTGATGGACTACCTTTGTCCGAATTGAATACGGTTCTATCACCGTGGCAAAAGGTCGTCAAGTACATTTATAGATAAGTGCGATGTCTAAATAAAAGTCTGTTTGCCCGTTCTCATTTACACACCCGTTCTCTGAAAATGTACTGTTGGTAGAGGACTGATAAGGAAAACAATTTAAACGTCTTGAGTGAAAAAAACAACGAAATCACATGTTGCATTGTTGTGTTGTACCCCTGTTTAATGGAAAGTGTCTCTTTCCCACGGCGCTTTGAAGGAGCACAGACACGAGACAACTTCAGTTTAACACGCGGTCGGCTTACCATTAATAGAGGGTTTTTTGGGTTAGATCGCGTAACTTTAAATGTGTCGTTAAACTCGCCATCATCCAAATCTGGCTGTCGCCTGATGATGCTAGTTGTAATCACTGTCGAAACGTCGTACTCGAATTGTAAATGTTGTCGGTTTACTCTCCAACACACCGTTGTGTTGAACGAGTAACGAATTGGCACGTCTTGTTTCCGTGACAAAACTTACTAATTGGCTGTGTCGGATAGGTGGCGGGTTTAACGACACATTTATATTTACGCAATCTAACCCCAAAAAACCTCTATTGTGGATGAGCCAACTTCAATTACATCTAAAACATTGTGTCAAGATAGTCATCCCTTGAGAGGTTTTGTCTTGACCCCCCTCCCACTCTATGAAAACAAGTGGCTGCATTGTTTGTAACACTTTCTAAGGATTAAAAGCATTCATGCATCAGCTCTGTCCATCTATCTGTCCGTAGAGGAGAATCATGATACATTCGTGGAGATTATCTCAAATAAAATTACATTTTAGTACGGGTGTAATGTTGTGTTGCTATTAAGGACTTAACCGATGTAACAGCGTGCCAATCGCTCAAAGAGCCATTACTGTGGATAATTAAATACATTCCGAGGACAAGGGGAATACGTGCATATGCATGCCTTTCTTCCTCGTTTTTGGTTACATATCGGACCTGTCTTCCCGCACAATCGAGTAGACCGTGGCATAATTTATTCCACCGCCGACTGTTTCAGTTCAGGGATGCAATTACGGTGCCCCTAATTCCTTTTTACCATTTCGCAGGAATATCTGCGAGCGCAGACACATTTGTGGAGAGTGCTGGCCCACGTTAGGAGGAGGCTTGGAGGGCGGCCGCTCGGTTCGCCAAGGTTAAGGGGACAAGGAAAATCAATGCCCCGCCACAAAGCAGACGAACGCCAACTCACGCCACAATTTGCGGGGAAGCCACTCGCGCACACTGCATGCCATTACAACCAACCAGGACCACCAAGGGCACACCAGTGCTAACCCCCCCCCCCCCCCGCTCAAAGTCTCCCCGCGGCTGAAACGCTTCTCCCCGTAAGTCTGTTTTAAAACAACGTGTAAGCTTTTCCTGACTAAAGAACCTGACCGAGACGGAGAATCACTGGGTTGGTGATGTGTTCTCAGTTTGTTATTAGCTTTTTTTCCCAGTATCGGTTAGGTTTAGTGTGATATGCACGATCTCTTTCGATCTTCAGATGGATGTTATGTAAGTACTGTTAGCCACTATTTTATGTGTTGTTTCATACCTTTAATTCGTGCTGAATTCGTGCTGATTATTTTGCCAGAATATACATGCAGCCGTAATGTAGGACGGCGATCCATTGTTAAAAGTAACAATCTATATCATGTATTACGTTTTCCAGTAGGTGGCAGCAATTTTGTGTGAATCTGGCAAATGTTACCAATATTTTCTGGAGTTTTTTAGCATTCACGGCATGTGCAACCAGCCTTGGGCAAATTCACGTGGAGCTAAGAAATAAAACATTTATACCATGATGTTTAACCGTACAGTAGTAACTATGTTGAATAATGCGCATGAATAGCACGCATAATGAATACATCTCAAAGGTTTACACCAGGGCTTCATTTCAGATGGAGCTGTCCAGGGCTGACCTGCAGAAAATATTCCCGTATCCCCTTCCCCCCGAGGGTTCGGTGTTTGGGGTAGGCCATGAGAAATTAAGCCTTGGATTAAACTTTTATATTTGAATTTTACGACGCTTTCAACTGATTTTTATATTTGATGTGACTTAGCTGAAAATATTTAAACATTTAGTCGGACCTTTATAAAAACAATTTCTTTTTTTTTAAGTAACAACTTTCTTTCTGCGTGTGCAGATTGAATAGACGGAAGCATGGAACTCATACAGATGGGGAAAAACACAGGAAGCCAGAAGCGTCAGCAGCTGATCTACCTTTGAGAAGCATGGATCTTGTGAAGAGGACAACGTGGTGTAAACAGTCCGATCCCATTCCCTTTTAGAGATATCTTTGTATAGGAAATCTTCGCTTTAGAGCATACACCACCATCCTTCTTGAGCATTCTGTAAAAATCAATTGCCTCTATTATCCATCCCTAGCTCCTGGTGACATTCCCACATTCGCATCGAGAATGTTTGCGTGGTAATTCAATTATGTAGTGCGATCATTATAATGCCGATGGTGATAATAAAGTATGTTTCATGAAGTTTCGTGTACCCGTGTGAAAAAGTATAAAACATGTTTTACAGATGCTCTATCTTTTGACAACAGTTCAAATAGAAATCACTTCATGAGGGCCTGACCTGTCGTGTAAATTGTACGTTATATATTTCATCAGCTGTTGCTGAGCAGAGGCCCAAAGACCCAACATGCCAAGCGACCAGTAACAAACGGCACAGTCGAATGCGTTTATAGAAAAGAGTTCACACATTTTTCTTGAATTGTATAAGGTTATTAAGAACTTCGGAGAAAGAGATGGTAGGGATGGAATTCCAACGTTTTTGCAGTAATACTGGTAAATACACAGCAATACAAGTAAATGTAATCACGCTTTAGACACTATACTTTTTTTAGGAGGGATTGTAGTTGGTAAAGTCAACTTAAAACTGTTTACAAGTTTTCGCCGCATACCTCATATACTATATATTTTAAAACCGTTGTGTTTACTCAAGCTGCTGATTTTTTCCATCAACACAAAAATACTTGCATACGGAAGCGCGCTCTGTCAGGTCACGTGCTTCATTTGTAGCCGTCTCTGCTACGCAGCCTCATCACACCAGAGGTCGCAACCGGGTACCCGATACCCGTACCCTACCCGATACCCGGCTACCCGTACCCGACCGGGTACGGGTACCCGTTTGCGACCCTAGTGTGGCCGGGTACGGGTAGGCCGTGAGTCACTGGTGAGTAACTGTTTGTCACTCATTTCCCAACGTCTTGTCTCTTCTCACAATTCAAGTTCCTAGAATGAACCCACCCGCGCCTGCAACACTGGCTTCATCCCAGAGGTCGCAATCAGGTACCCGTTTGCGATCCCTGGTGCGGCCGAGTACGGGTAAGGAATCAAAACCCGTTTGCGACCTCTGCATCACACACACTCACTGCTGCCAGCACCACAATCTACCGAGCTGCATCGCAAGTTTAGCTGCGCGTGTGTGCGTGTACAGACCCTTTTTGGCAATCCGCTGCTGGATGTGGGCCTCCCCATCAGGTTCTGTTCCAGTTTCTCCTGGATGATGGTGGGGCCAGTTAGAGCTCTCGCGTGGGTGACCATAACAGTGCTGTAATGTAAAGGAGAGTGAACTTTGGTGGACATTTGGGTTGACAAAGTGGTGGTGCAGGGCCCATGCTAGCAGCCTACCTCCTAAGGTCAACGCTACTTCTCACACTGAGGGTCGTGGGGGGTTATTTGACCATATTTCACCACCTAGGGTCAGTGCTGGTGGGTGAAGGTGAGCAGTAGAGGCTTGGGAGCATAGTCCAATACAACAATGGATTTTAATGATAATAGGGTTTTCCCCATTTTTCTGGCAACAATTGTTGCCAGAAAAAAGGGGGGAAAAAGGGGAAAACCCTATTATCATATTTTGGTACTGGCAAAGGAGATCCCACAATGGATTTTACTATTTGGCCCTTTGCTCCCCACGTGGCACTCCAGTAGCCTGTAACACCTGTGTTATGCATCGTGGACACCCGTCTAATCTCTATCGAGGCTCAACTCTGCTTTTAGCTTCTGAGATTTGACGAATCTGGGTGCATTCCAGCATCGACAGTTGTCCATCTTATTCAAATATTCTAAAACGGCTTCTTTCATCTGTTGGACCTTTTAACCAGTATAAAAAAGATGAAAAATATAAGAATACGTTTATGCTTTCTGGGTAAAGCAGCTAGTTTTACCCACGCTCAACAAGCAGTCTTTAACAAGTGTCTATTGATGTTCTTTTTGGAGCACACCGTTGTTCAGGTGACACTGTCGAGTTTTGTCAGGATCTGAACGAATTGGGAATTGGAATAGAAGAAATTAGATTATAATGACTCCTAACGACTGTATAGGGATATTTCTGTGGCGTAATGGTGAGCACACTTGTACTGCAATCCAGAGGTCACTGGGTTCGATCTCCTGATACGGCAGTGGACACAATGGTGCTAGTTTCCTAAATCCTACCACCTCTGTCCACCCAGCAGTGAAAATGGGTACAACAAAGTCAATTGGCACGTGGTATGTGGTCGGTTAAAGTATGTACGTTGTTGAACTTCTTTTGCACCGTACATTGTGCTCATCGGAGGTCTGGCCAGCATGGAAGAGTAGGCCAAATGCTCTCTAGAGGAGCTCTCTAGAACTCCCGTTAGTGGAGGCCTTTCTGCTAGCAATGGCATGAGGAAGCAATTGACTGCACCTTTACCTGTGTAGTGCATCAATGTGGACACACTAAGAGTTGGAGGCACATCCTTTATCCCGTTCCATATAGTCACAGGGGATATCTACCCACGGTCCGTACGCTACTTGACCAGCGATGCCGCGGATGTGAAGATGAGGACGACGGCAGCACGACGAGTTCCTTTCCCAGACGACAGCCCCGACTGAGTGTCGGACCCTCCCCTTTATCCTCCCTCTCATCAGAAGGTTCCTGACTCTGTCACTTGTGTCTCACTGGCAGACCGGGCTGCTGTACCCATAATCCTCCTCTCTCCGAGCATCCCATGCTACATACTCTAGTGACCCATTCTATGTCACTACACATGTGTAGTGTCAACGATTCAGAGACAGAGTTTCTAGGAGGCACTTTCTATATTTAACAACTTTCACGGCATCGTCCACACACTCTCCACAATAGCTTAGCCTAGCCTGTACAGAACACTAGCCGTCTAACACTGACGGCGCTGACTGAGATAGCCAACTACTATCTTTGGTAGCGCAATATCTAGCGGAGACGTTTAGCGACGATGGCGACGAGACGACAGCAACGACGAGATGAGTCCATTCCCAGAACCGGCAGCCCTGAGCCCCAGCTCTTGGCTCCTTTTATGCTACCAGCGCCGCCTGGCTCCGCCCTGACCACGCCTGCCTTCTCGAACTCGCTAGCAGGTTCCAGAGGTCTCCAGATGGGGTCCTCCATGACCCTTACCCTAGTTCCCCCCTCTGCCTACACCCCGCGCACGCCCCCACCGGCGTGTCTACTGTCTGTCCACCACAGTTGCTGCGGCTAACCACCACACTACACATGTAATGTCCTACCATGGTGTTACAAAGTAATGCAACATTCTTTGCAGAATGATTCACAACCGTCACTGCCAGACGTCGTTTCTCCGTGGCAGCCCTTGCTATCTGGAATGCCATTCCGCTTCACATTCACAACGTTCAATGTACACCGACTTTTCATAGAGACTTAAATACCCCACCTCTGTAGCCTGGCTTTAAAGTGGTCATTTACGCGCAATAATTATTTTGCACGTTATAAATTGCATTTATTACAATTTTTATTCATGTCCGGTGGATTCCTTGGACCCAAACTCTAATTTGTAGCATCATTGACTTCAAGCATTTGGACGTGTCTCCTCAATTGATTACATTTCTAACTGGTACCTAAGCACGCTTCCTGCACGTCCTCAGATTTTTGTGAAGACTCTTCCGGAAGGAGAGATAAAGTGTCAATAAAACCTTGGGATTTGTGCCCCCAGGGGTCATGGGTTAGGGGAGGAGGTCAGACGCTTCCACAATCGGGTGATCTGCCGCCCTCTTCCAACCTCCCACATTTAAATCAAGCGCAGAGCACGGAGACAGGATTAAAAACATCTTCTGCCTTTCCACACCCACTCCACACACACACACACTAGTGCGCAAAAAATGATATATGTGTCTGTTCTCTCTTAAGACAAGAGGGTGGGGCGCTGGGGCAAGGCTTGCATGGTGAATTCTGTCCACCGGAACGGGTTTTAATCGGAAACATAAAGTGGACTGGAGAGTCCCCGTTGCGGTCGAGGTGGTTTTACAGCCTGACCACCCAGATCGGGCGATGTATTTACGGTGTCAGCCTTGATTTAACACAAATTAGAACCAGGCTTGAGACGTGAGCAAGCGCACAAACGTTTAATCACGAGCCTTGAATGTCTCATTTGTGCCGTTTATTCGCAGACAAATGTTCAGCTGGTGAAACCCACTTTTTAAATAATAAAGGCGATTGTGTGACTGGGTTAGTCGTCTGTGTTAGGCCGCAGCTACGCTGCGTGGAGTGTGGTGGGGTAAACCGAGACATTCGCAATTTTTTTCTGAGAGTGGTATAAGACGTGGAAATGTATGGTATTCACTGTCCATGTAATTACCACCATTGAAGATGTTCGTCACAATACCTCAGGGATCGGAAAACCAGCGGCTCCAGAGCTTTTTACCATGGGAGTCCAGTTTACCATGGAGGTCCAGTTTACCATGGAAGTCCAGTTTACCATGGAGGTCCAGTTTACCATGGAAGTCCAGTTTACCATGGAGGTCCAGTTTACCATGGAGGTCCAGTTTACCATGGAAGTCCAGTGTACCATGGAGGTCCAGTTTACCATGGAGGTCCAGTTTACCATGGAAGTCCAGTTCACCATGTACATGTACAATTCAACAGTGGATGTTGCTGCACTGCATTTGCTTGCCAGCCCATAGCTCAAGTAGCCACGCAGTATAACTTACAATCATACTGAAACAAAATCATATTAAAAGATTTTGTATTTTATTACAAAAGGTGGGGACGCTGTCAGGGCCCCCATAGTGTACAGCGCCACTCTATATCTCTACTATGAAGAAGGATCATTGTACGAAACGGCCTCCATTGCATATGTACTCTCCTTTAGGGCAGAATTATTGATTAATGTGTTTTGCTATGCATGCTGGTGAACCACTGACAATTGAGTATCCAAAAAGAAGTGTTTAGTTTTTGAACTATCAGAGCTCATTCAATCTGACTCACGAATAGCACACATTTTTTAATATTTTACTCTGTTGAAAGTCACTTAAAGTTCAGTGTTGATGATCGTGTTAACATCCAATTTCGTTGAAATTATACACCTCAGAAGGCTTAGAAATTATTTTAAACAAATTTTTTTTCTTTTACCAGGCTCGTGTTCAGAAGCGACCAGGCCACAATTGATAGTTCGATCCCAACCCTGACCCCTCTGTATATTTGGAGTTT